CACTGAATTTACAAGACTCAACTGCTGCAGAAAACCAATCTTGATTACAGTTTTTGGAAGAAGATTTGCACAAGGCAGTAAAATACTGGTAGAGTGTACTGTTGTTTGGTGATATTAGGCCAAACGCTGAACATTCTGGATGTTAGTGTTTGGAGGAAGAATGGCTCTGCACATAACTCCAAAAGCACCAAGCCAAAACAAAATTTTGCATGTGGGAACGTTGTGTTGCGGGTTGTTTAAAGCATATGCTAAAAGCAAGCTTGGACATTTGGAAAACCTTAACTGGTTATAAGGGAAAAACAAAAAAAAGTTCTGAAGTTTTCCAACCAAACATCTGACTTGTATCCAAATAAAAATCAGTCAAAAAGAACCAAGAATGTTCAAGATTTGAAAACTTTGTGTGGAAGAAACGATCACAAAGTATGAGACTAGATTCTTTACCTAGGAAATATTCCAGAGCCTTGCAGCCCAGATAATTTGATCAGAGGACCTATGCTCCCCTTTAACCTGAGTTGTTAACTTAAACTATTCAGACTCAAATGTTTAAGTCTGATCAGTTTACATAACAATCATACTGTTTTTTATTTAAGTTATAAAACATTAGACTATCAAAAAGGAAACTCTTGTGTATACAGATTAAATGTGCAGCTAAATGCAGAAGTAGGTATAGACAACTGTAATAGACAGAGTTGACTCCAGGACACCAGAGAGCAGCTATTCGGCCACCGGAAGCACCTTTTTCTTGAATCACAACTTCAGTGGAAAATTTTGTAACCCATATTTTGCCAGCAGGCTCTGATGGGATCATTTTCAGAGTATCATCATCACAGTTCACGGAAGAAAAGACATGTTGGCTCCTGAAATGGGAATCCTTGTCAGAATGTTTAAGGCGGGGGTGCATTCTTACTACAGTGTTTGGAATGCTTCTTCATTGAAAACTATAGAAATTATTTTTGGTTCAAGGGCTTATATTTATATCAGTTTAATATGAATAGAAAATCCCTTTATTGTCCCACAATGGGGAAATTGTGGTGTTACAGCAGGAAAGGATTATAGCAAATGTGGTCACACAAATGTGGACCTTAAGAAAAAGTGTATAAATAATAAAATAGAATATGTAACAGAGTTAAGAAAATAGACAAATAAAATACTGTACTGTAAAGTGTTTTTACAATATAAATGCTGTGCATCTGGAGAATAAATAATCAGTATAGAGAATATATATGCAGAATATGAATAAAAACTCTTTTGTTTGAGGTAATAGAAACAAGCACACTTATAAAGATATCTTCTCAACATACTTTTTTTAAGAGGGAAATTTGGCATAAACAAACACGTTTTTTTCTCCATTTTTAAATTTTTTTTTAATTTTTATATCTGATCTAATTTTGGTAAATTAAAATCCTCTTTCTGATAACTTATATTTTTTAACTAATTAACTAATTTTTTTTTATTAACAGTTGACCTTTGTCCTTTTTCGTCCTGATTTCAGTGTAGATAGATCTTCTCGATTCTTGGTAATTCAGAATATCTCTATCATATTTGTTACTCACGCCTTGTGCTAGCTCTTTTACACTCCAGTCTAGTTCTTTTCTCTTATCTCTAACCACAATCTTATTTTAAAAGCAGTATATTGGACTGACTGCATGATTGTAGATTTTTAAAGTTCTGTCCCTGCTGGATGTGCTGAGATGTTCAGCCATTCAACCGTAAATTACCTTAAATCTGACCCTAAATGCATAATTAAATTAAGAATGTCAACCCTACTTCTTACCAAGGCAAACAGTGTTTCAACAGTAAATTTTAATACAAAATGCTTTTTGTTAAGGGCTGTTTCAGAATATGTTTTAATAGGAAATGTGTAAGTCATTATTTGTGAAAAGGGTTGGCATACGAAAATGTATGAAAAAGCCTTAACCCTTTCTATGATTACGTGCATGATTTTTTTATTTTCAATCCTACGTTCTTATTGAGTGGCCATGATATAATCTTATTTCATTTTTCTTGTTTCCATTTAATTTCTAGTATAAAATAGGCCATTATATATTTAATTGAAAGTATGTTTTAATGGTATTTAACCATCTTTCCCCTCCCCTTCTTCGTGTGATTATAAGATAAGCTAACTTCTATCTTCTGATTTACTTATAGACATATTAGTTAATTTGCTATTTTTCAGACACCATGTAATTCTGAATATGTTCTGGAAATGTTTCATTGTAAAGAGGGGCTAGGAAATGCTTCTTTGCCTCACTTCTTAGAAACTGAGGGGAAGTGAAGTTATGGATCCGTAAAATAAAAAGTTACCAGGAATTCTTAATTCAAAGAAGGAAAACTGACTCCAAGAAAAGGTGTGTGTTAAAAACAGGATTTAAAGTGTTTATATAGGAGCTCAATGGGGGGATGGACTAGAGTTATTGGGACGGAAGGCCTCTGGGTTCATTTCCTCCAGCAGTGGTATACATCTTGTTGAGCCTTGACTCAGACAGTTCAGCGTTCTTTTGAAAAGCCCTGGGGTGAGACATTCATCCTTGGAGTGATTCTGGTAGACTGACACCAGAGGGCTTAAAGGTTTTCTCTAATTGTGGATAACATTGCTCTACATTTCCTAGAGTCCAAAATCCTTAAAAATGTATTTGTACCTTTTCCAAATAGGTCTCATTAAATTTTTTTCTTATCTATGATTTATTTATTTTTTCAAATCACTCAGATGTGCTGCTTTTTAATGTCTTTAACCTATTTCTATTGTAAGGCAGGTTCAATTTATATGACTTCTTAACACCACAACTTATATTTTTCATTTTCAAAATGAGTTGCATATTTTATATATTTTCATTAGCCTGACTTTAAGTTAGATTTTTTGCAGTGCACACATTTAGTAAACTTTGTCAGGTTGTTTTTTTGTTTAGATGCAATTGATTCATTTCTTTTTCTTTGAGTTGCCATTTTCCTTTGGATCTGCTGGTGGAGGGCTGCAATGAGCTCCAGCTTTCCTTCTTCTTCTTATGGGATTTTATGGCGGTTGGCAGACTTGTGAATTGTGCATTACCGCCACCAACTGATATGGAGTAAAGCAAGAAAACAGGAAACGATTCACCCCCCCAAAAAAAAAAAAAAAAAAAAAAAAAAAAAAAAACCTGTGTAACTTAAACCAACATAATACTAAATCACATTTGCCCATATAATTTTAATTTACTCTAGGTCATCTTAACTCTGCCAGTTTCTGATGGTCCCATCGGTCCTCCCATCATACTTCCAACCATCTCCCAGTTCAAATCTTTAATGTCCAGATATTTTTCTGCAGCCTTCACTATTATTTTGATTTTTTCCGTTTTTTTTGTTGTCTGTGCAGTACAATTAATAACTTCTACCATGAAAAGAACAAAATTTGTCTTTTTAACAATAAGTGAGTCTTCATCAATTTTTAGAGATTTCTCTAGAGGTTTGGAATTTGCTGTGTGTTGAACTGTACTCCAGCTTTCCTCAATTGGTTGTTGCAGGCTAATCAGCGGGTCAAACCATTTGTAATGGGAAGGGAAATTTGTTTATCATTTGTTTAAATATTCTTAGTTTGGGTAATTTTGTTAATTTGTTAAATTTAAAAAGTACTTTGTGTCTGGCCAGTATTTATCTGTTTAATTAAGTTTATTTGTTTGTTGATTTGTTAGTCAGTTACCCCCAATTGTGTGTCAACAGTGGTCTGATCAGCCACTATTTAAGTTTCCCTCATATCTTGTTTGTTAGGTCAGTTTGTGCTTGAATTCTTTATGTTAGTATCTGAATTGAAGTCTGTTTTGTTGACCTCTGTTTTTGGGCCCAGTTTATCGTTTTTTTAAACACTTTTTTGAAACAAATTATGACCTTTTTAGAAAAATTTCAGTGGTTTTCTGGCTGGTTTGTGAAAATCCCTCACAATGTGGCATGTGAAATAATACCAAGAAGTGTGCATTATACCAGTGAATATAGCTTTTCACGACAATAATTATTTTTTAAGACTTGGGTTAGTTTAATCAGCTTTTCTTCTTTAATGAATTAAATCAGAATTTAAAAGCGGCTTCTTCTATAACTTGTTAGATGATTTAAAAAAGGTCCTAGAGCAAAATTAAATTAGGAAAAGGCTCTTAATTGTTTTTGGTTTTTTTTGTGTAAAGATTAGAGGCGGTTCTAGACCAAACATGCCAGGAGGGGGACAGCGTGTTTTCATAGGGGCACAGAAAGCAATGAAATAAAGAACAGGGCAAGGGATTCAAATATGTAAATAGTACTGCATGAAGTGAAATTTGTATTTAGTTAGGTTAAATCAAAATTATATGTCTTATTAGGTCAATGTACATTTAGAATTTAGGAATTTTACGTATTTTGACTTAAGTCAATAAAATCTGAATTAGAACTCAAGAAAATCATAAATTCAGCAGTAAAAATTCTAGTATTTTTTAAAATTTGTTTTGAAAACTGGGATCCTATCTCGAAACCACTGAAGCTATCCCCTTATTGTTTTTAAATAATTAGTAAAACAGAATTATTATAAACTTTTATATTTTCTTTAGTCCAATTGTTTTTAATGTTCTTTTTTGTTTCTGCATTATTTATTTATTTATTTTCTACTTTCTTTGATTGTTTTTTCTTCCTATATTTTAATCATATAAAGCACTTTGCTTTGTCTTTGTACTGAATAGTGCTATACAAATAAATTTGCCTTGCCAAAAAAAAACATGAAATAGATCCAAAAGATCTATCAGTAGCCATATCTGTTATGTCTTCAGTACAGGGGCCATCACGGGGGCCAGGACATTATCTACAGGGGTTCTGGCCCCCATTGCCCCCTGTCTAGAACCGTCCATGGTAAAAAAAAATAAAAAAAAATGTAAAACTTTACCCAGTTTTACAATCTGGGTGAATTTGTGTGTCATAAATCAAACACTTCCGTTGGTGTGAGCCAGTCATCTTTTTTTCTGTAGGTGGGTGGAGGCAGAGCCAGTAATAAAACCCTCCTCCCTTCAGGACTAAATCTCACTTTCTGCAACCTGGCGGCTTTGGAGCTGTTAACTCACCGCTGACAGTCATTAAACTTCAGTCATGATAAGAAACGAGGTTTTCTCCTGTTTTGTTTTCTACGCGGTCCTGCTGGTGATCAAAATGTACACCATCGCGGTCATAACGGGACAAGTCAGGCTGCGCAAGAAGGTGGGAGATTTAATAAGCGATTATTAGTTTAATCTAAGTTTTCTGTTGGATTCATCCTTTTTTCATTGAATTTTTGCTCTCTTCCTGATTTCTAAAAGGCTTTTGCCAACCCAGAGGACGCGCACAGACACGGAGGGTTGCAGTTTCACAGAGAGGATCCATATGTGGAAAGATGCCGGAGGTAGGAGCGCACAAAGTTTTTAACCTGATAGGAAAGGTCGGATTTTTATTTACAGGCAAACAATCACTGGTTAACCATGCACAGAGGCGTAGTCAGACATTTTTGTAAGGGTGGCCAGACAATAACCAATGTACAGTGAGGGGGGGCCGAACCTCTGGGTGAATCTACACTGTTCAAACAGGAAAATTAACCAGAAAAACATCCATATTTTCTAAATAAAGACAAACTATACTTTCCTACAGCCTTTGCTAACAGATAGACACATATATTTAAACATCCATGGTATAAGTATAGTGGATAAAACTCAGTTTTGAGTTCTGGGGCGTAAATCAATCATCATTGTCATTAATTAACTTCTTGTTTCAATAAATATTCTGCATAAAATTGATATTTACAAGCACTAATATCTACATAAATTGATTATTTGATACGTTTTTTATTAAAATAGCTATCTATGATTTCACTGAAGACTCCTAGATGACTTGCAGAGACACGTTTTCTCTTTAACCCATAAAATACAAAATCTAGTTCTGAAAAGAGCATAAATTCTGTATTTATCATCTTTGATGTTAGTATATTGATGTATATAATTAACCACAAAAAAAGAAATGTTGAATGAATAAATATTCCCCTTGAGAGTATTCCTGCGGCCACCATCTGTATTAGAGGGAAAAAATGGTTGGGGTGGCCAATGATGGCCCCCCATTAGCTCCACCCCTGATCATGCTCCATATTGCTAATACAGGTTTGTGCAGATATTATAACCTTGAAGAATTGAACACAAACATGCAGGATTATGTCCTAGATGGCGGGTTTTTGTTTGTTTTTGTGTTCTCTACTGATTTGCATTTAAAGCGGCCTGCTTGAAAACTGGTCTGTTATAATATGTTGGAAAAGGGATATCAGATTGGAAGGGGAATAAAGGGAGAACTGATGGTTTTTTTTCTGCTTGTAAAAAGAAAAGAGAAGCCTCACTTCTGTTTTTTTCCCCGAGTCTTAAACCATGTTGAACTCTTACTAAAAAGTTTTTTTTAGAGGTTACAAAGCTACGTGCCATTAAGCCCATATCAAAGCCTCCTGCTGACGGAGTGGCAGGGTTCCTAACCAAATATTTTAGTAGATAGCAGTAAAATGAGAGGAAAGGAAGCAGGAAAGTTCTCTGGTAGCCTGACTCCATTTATCCCAGATCTACATACCAGCCGGTATTGCTGATTCTGCACAAAGAGTGGGACGTCCATTGATGCAGAGAAATTCCCAAATACTCACCCTTACTTAAACAAACAGGGAATTTAACCTGGGGGTGCTCATTTCTTTACAAGTGAAATCCACATCCACATTGAGTCACTGCTTTGCTCATAACTTGTCATATTTCTACCTCATAGGCTGAGTCACACATTCGTAGACTACTGCTAATGCCGTCTAATATTCTGGCTTCAGAGTTCTGTTTCATACAGTTTGAGCCTCCTTTGTGTGCTCCCATTGTGACATTTTCTAAATTTAAAATGCTGTGATGGCCTCATCAGAGCCAAGAGGTGCATACGGGCCTCAATGGGGGTTTTGCACAGGGTGGATGGGTTTCTAGAGGTCCACAAGGTTAGGTTAGACAGCATTAACTAAACTATTTGAGAACCACTTTATCATTTTTTCAACCCTATTTTGTCTATTGCCCTTCATCAGGACACTAAGTAAATTTAGAGCTCAAAATAGATTATTTCAAAGTAAAAAATTCAACTTTTTAATCCTATTAATATTTATATTTAAAAGCAAAATAAGTTTTATGGCTATTTTGACATGTAAAACCCTGTAACAGAAAGTTTGTTATGTTTCTGTGGACCCCTATCTAGGTATGGTTCAGGCTGTCTATGTATTAAGTGAGCTTTGACTAAAAGGAGCTTTTTGTAACCACCGTTACCCAACCAAATGAGTCCTATTTGTAATTGTTGGCCAATATGTGTAAATGGGGCCCATCTAGGCTATGCCCTGACTAATTGATGACTTGATTGGTTCTAACACAAAGATTTGGTGTTGAGCCAAATTAATCCATTTTGGGGAAACTCAGTTTGGCACGTTATGGGTATTAGCTTAGGCTCAGATTGGGGGATGGGTTAATCAGTTTAGAAGCGAATAAAGATAGGCTGTCTGGGTGTCCTACATCAAACTATTCATAATTAACATGCAGCCATTATGTAACACCTAGAAAATCTCATTCATGGCCTTTTATCATTCCGTTTCCATTCATAATGTTGCCTCGAATCTACGAATGGTTCACCTTAATTATATAACCATTATTTTATATTTAAAGTACTTTTTATTTCTTTTTGCTAAACCAGTTAAAAGGAGCTACCCGCTTACCACCTGAATAGTCTTTAGTGGGTAAAACCAGTTGTTCTTGAATTGGTAGGAGGTTTCTCCCAGGAATCCATTGATTATCTTGGTTTCTGTGACACCCTGGGCTTGGTACTCCAGGTTGTAAGTGTGGGAAATATGAGTTTTGGCCTGCTAATGTTATTGACTGAGTGGGCAGCAGGAAGGGGCGGGTCCGACAGGAAAGTGATTAAGGGAGGGTTAAAAAAATATCCATTCATATTCTAAATCTTATCTCTTCCTTAGGGCTCACCTGAACGACTTGGAGAACATCCTGCCCTTCCTTTTCCTGGGGGCTGTCTACTCCTTGACCGGACCTTCGCTAACAGTGGCTCGTTTTCACTTTGTCGTGTTTTTTCTCGCCCGTGTTTTGCACAGCCTTGCCTACCTGTTGGCTTTGCAAGCACCTACCCGCTCTCTGGCCTACACTGCTGCTCAGGTACCCTGTGTTTCCATGGCTGTGCAGATCCTCATGTCAGTGGCAGCTTACGCCTAGCATTTAAAGACTTTTGGAGAAAAGAAAACCAGAAAACTCTTTGGAAATCATCAGAGGGGTTAACTACGGGTTCCTTTGGAAAGACAGTTGGAGTGCAATATAAGGTGTTGATTTACGCCTGTCTCTTTTTTCTTTTCTTTTTTTTTTAAAGTAAGAAAATGTCAGTATTTTATTATGTTTAAAAAATGTGATATCTTAACATATTTTGAAGTATAATGTTACAATGCCATGGACTGTTCTAGTGTACCTAATGAAGTTTGTTGCTGATCTGAAAAAAAAAAAAGATTATTTGAAACCTTTTATAAATACAGTTTTTGTTTCAAAGCCAATTTGGGCTGTTTTTTTGTACAGTGGCTAAAAGGCACAAATAAAAAGTACTGCAAACAAAAATTTGGACCAGGACACAAAATGTATGCAAAGAAGCAAAGTTACTGCAAATACATAAATGATGCTAAGGAAAAAATGACTGAATGACTGAAATACTCCAGACCACTAGAGGGACATGATCATCTGCTCATTTGGAATAGGACCCCAAGTAAAGACATAAAAAGGATTCTCAGAGATAGAAGCTCCTTCCAAATTGTGCAAAGTAAATAGTAAGAACACTGTCCAGGGTAGGAAAGAGATTCAGACTGCTGTGCAGTTTGCAGCCTTATGGCCGTTATTACACGGTGGACACACACATGAACCAGGCTGGTCAGATCGGGAGTAAACCTTTTCTGTAGAAGAACTACAAAGAACAGAAGTTACACAAAGTTCTAATCAATAAAACCCAAAATCTTTGCATATGACACACGGGGTACATGTCACCAAATGTTGTATTTTAGTTCAACCCCACGAGGAGGAGTGTGGAAAACCGTGGACGGTCTGCTATATTAAGGGCCGTCCCTGCATAAGTGCAGACTTGCTGGAATTTTTGCAGTGGGTGTAACAGCGGACTCAAGGCGTAAGAAGCACCTGCATTGAAATTTAAGTTCCACCAGTTAGCTGTATCTTTTTGACGCTGACAGAAATCTCTTTGAAATGGTTTTATTGGGCAGTATAAACTTATTTTTAAGAAAGTTGCAAATGCTTGATTTCACGGCAACCTGCACCATGGCGCTACAGCCGTACACATGACATCACTGTGTTGCCATAGTAACGACTGCTTTCCTTTACCAGTGGAGGGAGGGGCTCCCATTCTCATTCAATAGTTAAGGGGTAGTGTTTAAGGGGAGGTTTGGGATTGGACCCCTTGGCTGATGCAGACTCGCTATTTGAGTGTTCCTCTTACCCTACACAATATATGGTTTGGGACAACCCTTAATGTGGCGGACCCTTTGTAAGAACGTTCAATTGGATGGTTAGTGCATATATGTGGTGTTTTAGGGGTCAGTTTGGGATTGGGTCGAGGTATTCGTATTTACCCTTTGTAATGTCTATGGTCTGGTCCCATAGGAGCTGATGATCGTCTCCTCCTAGCTGTCTGGATCTCTTAACTTGCAGTTATTTTGGCTACTTGCAGCATTTTTCTTTTGCATGCGTTTTGTGTGTTAGTCTATTTTTAGTATTTGCTGTACTTTAATGTATTTGCAGTGATTAAGCCCTCCTCTGCCCTGACCTTTCCTGTGTTTACACTGAAGAAAAGGGCGCCATTAATGTGTTTTTGTATACTTATCATTGCATAGTCTGTTACCTTTGTGTGTTTTAACTTTATTGTTAAACCTTGTTTAGATACTACACTCAGCAACATTAAAATGGGTCCTGACAGAGGTTTTGAATTGTTTACTAGCCTTTATTTGCAGCTTCTCCTGTGAGAGTCAAAACAAGTCTCCTGTGAAAAGGAATGAAGGAAAAACTTGTCTGAACAGCCTGCAAGGAAAGAAAATCAGAGGCTTCCTTCAAGGGTTTGGAACTTCAATTTATTACTTTGTTTAGGTATGTGGACACATCTATGTATATTTTTCTAAGTAGTAAGACAGTTTTTAACCTAACAAGAACAAGCTTTGCAAGAGTTGTAATTTTAACCGTCAGGTTTTTTTTTTTTAATCAGTCCTGCAGAGACTGTTTTTCTTTTTAAGGGGATGAGGCCCCATTTTTTTTATTTTTATTTTTTTATGTGTGAGTGAGATGATCCAGAAGTCTGAGGCAAAGCTCCAGCATTCCTGCACCCATTACGTAAGACTTTGGACCAGGCTGTGCACATTTTCATTACAAGAGGGGGGTTGGGAAATAACTGGGGAGCATCATGAATGTATTTGCTCTTTAATGCCAAGTCATCCATCCACGCTTAGAGCAAATGCATTGTGTGTGTGCATTCTGAAATATTTTCTTTGCCCCTGTCGGCAGTATTTCTTCCATTCGCTTAACCTAAAGCCACCTTTTTAAAACGGTGTCATTCCAGTAATCCCACTTCTGGTTATTTTCCAACTACTCAAGATACCTAAACATTAGCGTACAGAGCTGGAACCTTTTGTGGGACAAAATTTTTTTTTGTCCTTATTCTCTCTTTTTTTTCCTACACAAAAGACAAATTAGAAGTGACCTAGTCCGTGGGAGGACTGGAAAATCCCAGTTATGAAAGAAAGAGCTCTGACAATACATATAATCTGGGAGACACATAAAGTTCACGTGCAAAGAACACGGGTGTGTCTTTACTCTTTTCAAACTCTTCTTCTTTAAGTGTCAGTTTTACCTTATGACCCTGCTCCTTTATTACACTTCCACAAAGTACACCTTATTGTTTAAGTTTCTTTTGCTTTCATTATTTTTGTGCAGATAAAGTTAAAACTTTGACAAGAAGCTCTGTTTTAAGTTTTTAACCTTCCACCATAAGCATTGGAATTATATACCAGGCTACTTATGCTGTGGTCAAATGAGCAGAGGGCTCAAACCAACAAAGAAATTGTCATAAAATAGACTTAGCATAAAGGATAGAAAGGTTTTAAATGCTCCATAGGCGCATAAATGAATATTTAGCACCACCTTGCGGTAATATTGTGAATATTCCTTTGTTTACAAGCCTGGTGAAGAAGGTGTAAAAAGTGATTTTAAACAATTGATGATCCCAAACTGCCACTTTCTGCTGCAGTACTCTCATGATCTTTGGAGATCTTTTTTTTTTTTTTTTTTTTTAACTCATTTTACTCATCACTTTAAAATATTTTAACATTTTTGCAACAGTAGCCTTTGGCACCTCTAAATGAGTGTCAAGTTTTTAGTCTGCAAGCATGAACCGCATGCTTGAATATCTGCTGGATTAATAACCTGAAGCACAAACTGGCTTCAAGTTAGCTTTGAAATCTGTGTTTTTCCTACCATATCCGTAGGACATCCAGTGGGTGGTCATCCATGTTGATCATATCAATTCAATTTGCACAGTTCTTCTTTTTTTTCTGCAAAAATTGTATCTTTATCAGAACTTTCTGTTAATGGAAGGTATATAAATCCAGCATCTCAAAGAGAGGGTCTGGCCTTTTTTTTTTTATTTAACCTTTATTTAACCAGGAAAAAATCCCATTGAGATTAGTGTTTAATATATTTATTCAATTCACATAGTATAAGAATATGAAAGGAATTACAGAAAGGAATAATAAAAAAAACAGGTAATAAAAATATAAACAATCCCTCCCACCCCCCTCCCACTGTCGTTTACAAAATCAACAAAAACATAACAACACACAGCATAGACCGTCAAAAAGGAGGTAGTAGACAGATAATTGAAAAATAATAACCAGAATATCATACAGATTCAATCTTGTAATACTGTAGATGGTTGGCTGAAAAAGGTTAAGAAAGGTCTCCAGACTTGATAAAATTTCTTTTCAGAGCCCCTCAAAACGAAGCGAATTTTCTCCAACTTAAGGTGGAACAGCACATCTTTGATCCAATGCGATACTGTGGGTGGGGCAGCATCCTTCCACTTGAGAAGGATCAAACGGCGTGCTAGCAAGGTGGAGAAGGCGATGAGTTCCCGACCACCAGCAGGCAAACCAAACCCTTCAGTCGTAACCCCAAAAAGCAGCATAAGTGGATTCATGGCTATACTGACTCCAAGTACACTAGAAAGTGCCTCCCTAATACCTTCCCAATATTGCTGTATCTTGGGACAGAACCAGATCATATGGATTAAAGTGGCCTCTGCTGATTTACATCGATCACATGTCGGGTCAATGTGAGGATACATCTTAGCCAGTTTATATTTATGGAGATGTGTACGATGTACTATTTTAAACTGAATGAGAGAGTGTCTTGCGCACATTGAGGATGTGTGAATTTTCCTTAAAACATCAGCCCACTCTGCTTCACTGAAATTCACCTGGAGATCCTGCTCCCAAGCCCCTTTAATAGATAACGATGACAAAGTCTCCAGGTGGCATATAAGGTGCAATAAAAAATCCCATTGAGATTAAAAACTTGTTTTTCAAGGGAGTCCTGGCCAAGAGGCAGCAAGTAAAACAATTACAGATCATTGAGGTAGGGTGACCATATTTTCATTTGGGAAAACCAGGACACCTTGGAGCGGTGTCACTTTCAACTTAAAAGCATTTAAAGATAAAAACTCAGTCAATTTCCAGTTTCAAGTTCTACACACAAGGAGCTGTGTAGCTAAAGGCTTTCTTCCCTAGTTCTATGCGGGGAAAAGGAACAGTGAGCAACAGCTGATCGTTGGATCTCAGGGCATAAGAAGCCATGCTTTTCTGTGTAAGTAAGGTACAAATGTAAGAGGGCATAATCCAAGAAGGGCATTGTAAATAAAAGTGTACCAATGACACTACCTTCTTGTAGAGAAATAAAACAAATACGTTAATATGCAGTGTAATAAATGCAGAGTGGATAATATAGAATTATTAACATTATGTTGCATGGGGGAGAAGCATGAAAAAGAATTTAATGCTTTACTTGCAAGTTGCAATTTTTCCCAATGGTGCAATGAAAAGCTATTTGAATAATTCTGGTAGATTCAAGGTTTTTGGCAGATAGCAAGGGCTGATGGGTGCGAATTTGAGGGTAAAATAGATCACTTATGATTCTACCTGCATATCCTGCATATCCTGCTGCAGATGTCTAAAAAAAATGAGTGATACAGCCCATGATTCAGCCTGGAAATATACAGTTATGAAAAGCCTTATGACAGACCCAACCTTTGTTTTATACCACTGAATCTGACTAGGAGCTGAGACAAAGGCTGAAAAGCAGGAATGCAAGAGCACAACCTTGTGGTAGCTCTGTTTGGAAAGTGTGTTCACCCGAGGGTATTATGTTGACGTCTGGTGGTAAGGATGTCAGTGATCTAGGTGTAATCTGGTACACAGAGCTGGAGAACTACCATCAGCAAAACTGTAATCCCACAAAGCTAAAAGCAGAACCAAAGAGCCAGGTAAAAAGCAGCTTCTACAGAGGATTTTTCTCTCTTTGCAAACTGCAGAGGATTCAGAAAAGTGTCACTCTTGTTTTTACACGACTACAAACGTTAGCCTCACTGCCCTATAGTCATTGAGCCTTGATTTACTTTGCCTTTTGCGCTTTCTGGACCAATAGTGCATGCGGGTATGACTCAGATTTCCAGTGAAATCATTGAAGCTCTCTGAACCAAGGCTGATTAAACATTGAGGGAAAGATTTAAATCTAATCTTGAATGCTATGTTTTCCTAAAATGGTGGAAGATCCTTTTAATCTGAAAGTCAGCTGCGGGTAAGGCTGGGAGAGATCTGATGAAGACCAACATGTGGAATGCTGGAATGCATCTGGTGCACCAATCAGTAGCAAGCTTTTCTTCCATTGCAGCCTGTTTGCATTCTTAAAGTCACCCCTAAAACTAAATGAGTTGCATAAAGTTATATAATAAAATGATTGAAATGATTAAAGAATACATTATCTGACTTTCTAAGCTTCTGATTGGAAATATTTGAGCCAAACTGAGCCTTCCATTGGATGTATAGAAGAACCACTACTTCCTAGTGTTACATTGTTGGAAATTAAAATAGTTTCAGGAAAGTTTTTAGGAAGGTAATTATGGACCTTTAAGACTCCTTATTAGGTATGGTTTCCAGATTCCTGAGGATTCCTCATTTACATGTTTGGATAAATTCTGGTCTAAACAGACATGGGTTTAAACACACCTACTCGGCTGTCTGGGTAACATCAAGGCTTGGTTATCAAAACATTTTCAGAAACTACCAAACACTATCACTAAGGTGATAGTGTTTGGCAGTGGCATTTCTAAATTGGAACCATTCAAGGATTGTGTACGTTCCAAAGTAACCAGCCTTTGGGTCACCATGGACAGAGATTTTAAACTGGACAAAAAGAAAAAAAACAGAATTTTAAAATTGTAGTTTTATCATCTCTGTTTTTGGTAAAACCATTTTTATCCTTTCACCTCTTTGAGCAGGTTTTACACTCTTTTTTTTCTAGCTGCCTGGAATACTGTAATGCACTTTATGCAGGCATTATCCAAAAAGCTCTCTCCCATCTGCAGTTAGTGTAACAGCAGCTTATTTTTTGACACGTTACACCAATTCTTAACGTCTCTACACTTCAACCTGTTCATTTTAGATTCATTTTTAAAGATTTTATTGTTTGTGTTAAGAGCTTTGAATGGGATGACTCCTTAATACATTATGGACCTCCTTCAGATTTACTCTCTAGCTCTGAGGTCTGAGGGCCATCTTCAGCTAATAGTGGATAAGACAAGGCCTAAAACCGGAGGAGAGAGAGCCTTTTCTGTGGTTAGCTCAAGATTTTGAAATACTTTGGCCCTCCATATAAGAACAGCCTCCACATTGGAGTGTTTTAAGACCCACACTGACTTAAACTCTTTGGCTTTTAACACTGCATAATTGTGTGGTCCTCTGTGTCCTTTTCATTTATTTATTTATTTTAAACTCTTACTGCTTTTTTGTGTGTGCAATGGTTTTTTTGTTTGATTTTATGAACAGCACATTGGAAACATTTCTGTAGTTATATTAGCTATATAGAGAAAGTGGATTGGAACGGGTTGTGTCCAAGAATTGTACAGATTTTAGTGTAAAATGTGAACTTTTAAAGATGATGTTTCACGCCTGTTGGACAGTTCCTTTCCACAATTTATAAATTCAGTCAGGGACAAATCATTTATTTTTGGCTTAAGGTCCTGGGATTGAATGGAAGTGTAATTTAGGTATCTGGCAACTATGAGAAAAAGCTTCCAACTGAACTATGAAGTACGAGGGTGTTGGGATCATGTTGTGTGTGTGTTTTGCTGCAGAATGGTCTATCCTCACATTCTTAACTGTTTAGAAACCTAAAACAGGAAAAACTCTGATTTATTGCCAAACTCTATTCTTTTTTTTTTAGCTGTTGATGGTTAGTTGTTGGGCTATACCCCAACCCAATAAAGGTGGACCAATAAACCAAATCCAATGAGCCATACAGCTAAAATTCCATAAATATTTATTACATATTAATGAACAAAATCAAATACTTTCACAGCAGTGGTCTACAGCACTTCTTTAAAATAACAGTTTAAATAATAATAATATAGTTCTGTTTCATTTGAGGCCACATTTGATGCACAAACATTTACAAGTATTACTTGGCTTTAAAAACGATGGCGATACAATATTTTAAGACACTTGGTGTATTTGTTTTTATACGTTTTCTTTCATTTTGATATCATAGATAAGTTCAGCGACAATCTAAACAGGAAATATAGATTTTATTACAAAAAAGGGGAAAACAAGTGAAAAAGCCAAGAGAAAGTGTAACTTGAGCAAAAGTACATAAAACATGACTCCTGTGAGTCAGTCAAGCAGTGTTTTTCCCTTGATCACCTTTAATTCAGAGAGATAAGATTTGAAGTAGTAGGGTTATCCCCCCCCCTTTGAGTTATAGGAGTGTTTGGGGGGATTCATGCTGTGGCAGGCAGAGGAACAGAGAAAGAAGCTTGAGGGGGGAGGAAGAAAGAGGCTCATGCAACATCCCACTGTTGTTGTTTTCTTGTGAAATATTTAATAGTATAAAGAGACACTTCCTACCCACCTTACCTTAGGATTCCCAGTGCAAAACTTATCTCCTCTTTATATTTTTGTTCTACTCTGCTGCTCTGCAAACCGTCCCAGTTGTAAATATATTAATGAAGGCAACATTCACAGTCAGATGTAAAAGGATTGTGGAGAACCTTGTCTTCCTTCTGGCCAAACTGACTCTGAACATTATATATCTCCAGACAGATAATTGGAGAAGACGTTTCCACATGGTCAGGTCAGTTGCAAGGTAGATACAACTTAAGCAGAAGCTTTCCATAAACTGAGATCCAAAATATTATGCTGTCTTCATACAAGTTTCATTGTAAAAAAAAATAGATAAAAAATATGTGAACCTGGATGAGAAAATCTGTTAAGATGGTACGTTTTAATATATATTGGAGTCTGTCTGACATGAATTAGAATAAGCTGTGCAGTACTTGAATATGAATAGAGAAAGGCAGTTTAGATAAAATATGTTTTAATATTTAATATATAATCAGTGCCACATAGATAACAGTGTGTTATCTACGGTCTGCTGTGGCTTCAGTTTGCCTCGTTGGCTGTTTTATTTTCTTGGTCTGAAAGTTTCCCATAATAATGATGTGAGAGGTCTACATGAACTCAGTGACGCCCGCTCGTCATCCGCCGCGTAACACCAAAAGCATGAAATCTCAGTCTGATCTTCAAGAATATCTTTGGCTGCCGTGAGGCCACTTCGCATACGTTTTCAGGCACTTACGTTGCTGTAAAATGACATGTACACTGCAAAATTTTTTTTAAATCTAAATAAGACATTTTTTTCTTCAAATAAGTGAATTTTTTTTCTTGAATTGGGAGGTAAGTGAGACACCTTGCCAATGGAACAAGACAATTTACATTTGAAATAGGAAAAAAAGAATTGCATTGTCCTATTTCAAGTGCATATTAGAGTTAATAATAATCATTCCATTGGCTAAATCACTTTATTGACCTGCTCAAAATAGGTGTAAATACACTTATTTTAAAGAAATTTTTACTTATTTCTAGATCGTTTTTGCAATGTACTTTGGAAGTGGATGTAAGACTGATACCAGGTAGTTTGTTTGACAATCTAAAGTTCCATGCAAACTTAACTCTAGTTTTTTTAATTTGTCCACATTTTGTCATGTTATAACCACAGACTTAAATACTTTTTACTTGGATTATACTGATAGACCAACACAAGAAAGTGAAGAATTATGAAGTTCCTTTGATAAAAGATGTCATTCTGCCATGAAAGGAATGAGAATTCCCTTTTTAAATTCCCCCTAAGCCATATGGGAGACACAGCAAACAGGTGAAAGGTGTTAAACTAACTGAGCAATACTCTAAACACACCATTCACACTGACAGCCTTCCTCCAGCAGGGACAGGTAAGCTGGTACGAGTTAATAGGAATATGAATGAAGTCTGGGTGGATGTTCCCTGTCCAACAGCTCTAAAGATACAGCCGAAGCAACCTGAGGTAGCTAAGCTCAAAGCTTTTTCATTTGTTAGTATCTCCTGGTCAAAGTTCAAACCTAAACGCAACTGAGAATCTGTGACAAGACCTGCTAATTGAGTTTGAGCTGATTTAAAAAATAAAAAAAAAAGTATAAAAATTTATGTTTACCGCAATGTTTATAACTAGCACAGAATTGGAATAAATTGACAACATAAGTCTTAGATCATCTAATATTATCAACCTTTAAGATGAAATTGGGCCAGTATGAAACAGTGACAGCTGTAAAAAGATTTAACCATAAAATAAACTTGAATGGCGGCTGAACACATTGCAGTACATATTGCAGGTGTATATTGACAATTTTGACTACCATGCATCATTTTTTTGTATTCCATAATAACAATCTGCTTTGTTTTGGTCTATTATCTAAAATCCTTGTAAAATCTATGGATTTTTAAAAATTCTGACATAACATAAAATGTGTAAAAAATGCAGATATGGCGGGTGGGAGGAGAATAAAGAAAGCCCAGTTTTGTGGAAGAATGTCATTTGTAGATGTCTCATATTTGGGTTGTTTCATTTTTTTTTTTATGTCAGGTAGAAATTTCTCTAATAACAAATGAAAAAAAAAATTATTATAAAATTTTTCCAAAAGTCCAAACTTGGAGTGTGGATTTTGATGTGTGTTTTCAACAAGTACAAAGTGTAACAGAGACAAAAAAAAAACAATATTATATATTCATTATGAATTTATAGAGATATATAGTATTTATTTCACATTTATATATATATATATGTATATATATTTAGGCTTTATTTGTCTGGATAGTTTTGTGAAACCTTGTTTTCTCTTAAACTAAAAATAAAAAATCCTTCCTTATGGTTTGAATATGTTCGAACTCTTTCCTTCCTTCTAAAATTGTATTTAAATTTAAATTAATCATCCAGCACCTACACTGCAGACATGATTTTAGTTAACTTGTTACTTTTTCAGCACCAGATGTCAGCCATGCTGGTTTAGCGTTGGTCTCTTGATTGAACTGAAGTTGGAGAAAAGCTTTTGTAATGTGGACCAAAGTCATGGCTGCTGCTGCCAGACGCTACAGTGGCACTTAGGGAGACTTTGGCTCCTGCCCTTTCAACCTGTTTAGCAGTGAGTGGGGATAGGTGCAGAGAGCAGAAAACATTATTTCACTGAAGGCTGGAGCAAAACTGAGTTTTATAACATATCTATAAATATTTAGAACAGATCAGGCAGATGTGCCTGGCACTATATGCAGTTTGGTGTATAAACCGATGTACAGATACAGAGCATTATCATACAACATTTGCAAGCGGATCTCAAACAATATACAACACATAGACAGTGGCTTCGGAGAGAACTGCGTGCAGATGCACGGATGTTTGGAGATCTACGTCCAGGTTGCAGTTTCGGCCCAAATCCCTCTCTCTAAGCTACTGTAAATGTTGAAACACACCCAGGCATCTCGCACAACCTCATACCCTTTTTGGGTTATCAGCTGCAGGGCCATACAAGCACCCAACGCAGCATGATCCACATGCGCAGAGGCATGTTTTGTGACTCCCACCATAACCTGATGGAGATCCTAGGTGCAGACCCGGGCTATTAAAAGGCAAGGGATTATTTCAACAAACCAATTAAAAGCAAAGCAAATAAAAAAACAAAATGACTGACAGCACAAAAGTACAGGAGCAAAGAAGTGCACAACAGGATTGTCTTCACTTTAGGTCCAAGACATCATCTTCAAAGGATGTGGAGAGAGTGAACGCGCTGGCGAGGGGCGGACTCTCTTCCTGCAGCACCACCATCTCAGGATCAACCTCCAAAGCAGAGGAGCAGTGCAGCTGGGCGTCGTCTGCTTCGGTCGACTCTGAGGCTAACCTGTTGAAAAGAGAGCAGTCAAACTCTGAAATTAACCCCCCCCCCCAAAAAAAAAAAAAACTGCTGCAGGTCTCTAGTGCTGATTGTCGTACCTGTCACTGTTTGTTGACGTCAGAGCTCGAGCCTTGGGCTCCTCTTCAGTGTTCTTTTTGCTCATTTTCCTCTGTTTGACTGATCCGCTGTCCGACTTCCCGCTTGGCTCCTCTGTCAGGCCTTTATCGATAAGAGAAAACAGAAAGTTAGTGATGCTGCCACCCTGAAACAAATCCCAATGTGGCGCCGGCAAATGCATCGGTATTTACACACCTGCAGCTTTTCCTAATTTTATAAAGTTTCAAACGCAAACTACAAACTTCAGTGCTATTTTTCTTATACATTTCATTCGACAGACAGAAAAACAAAAAAAACTAGGTGTAAACCATACACATAGTGTAGGATAGTGTAGGAAGAGAAGGAAAAAGAAAGTCATCACTTTTGCAGTTTTCTACACACCTTTTAGAGGCCATAATTCAAAAGGTATTTAGGTTAGACAAGGCCACAATGTAACACTTAAGCCTACTTTCATAATAATTATGTGATAAAAAACAGTGCATCAAGTACAAGATATCCCTTGTGAAGCATGGTGGTGGCAGCATCATCACCTTCAGTACAGACAGGGAAGCTGCTTTTTGGAAGAAAACCTGTTTGGGGTGGTTTTCCATCTAACTTAGCAATATACCTGATTACACAAGCAAGGTCACAGAGGACAGATTTAGATCAAAGCATTTTCTTGCATCAAAGTCAAAAATATTTCTAAATTCAATAATGAATCTCAAGAATAATGCACTGAAATGAAATACTTTACATTTGTTGTTTGTGCTTAAATCTGAAAAAGTTCAAGGCATGTGAAGGCTTTGTAAGGTACTGTATTTATATTTCAGAATACCAAGCAGCTCCTTCCGTGTGCGGCTGGCTATCTCTTTGATCTCCATGCGGGACAGAGACAGTGAATGTGTGGCGGAGATAAGCGGCGCCGGGGCAATCATGGCGGGGGTGGGTGCCGTCATCACTTTGTTGACCAGAGGGGACTTCAGGGGTCTTTCGATGCTGCGGCCCACCAGGTTACAGAGAGGAATCTTGAAGATGTGCTTACAGGTTGCTTCACCTGGTGGGAGAAATCCCAGAGGGTAAAAAAAGAAGAAAAAGAATCAAGAAAATAAAGAACAGTCAATCATGTGATTTAAGAGAAATCAAGGAACAGAATGCCAGAAAAAAACAAAGGAATATGCAATAGTTTATAAAAATACATATGATGGTCCTGACCTGCAGCACTTTTTCAGGAGCTTGTCTAAATTTTGTTTTTGATTTTTACTGTTTCTGCTGGAGGAATAAGGGTTTTAACCCTTTGAAAGAGTCATAAATGGAATATCCAGTACAATAACTGGTAAAAGCAGTAGTAGAATGGGATTACTAATCACAAACCACGACATTAAAATGAAGCAAGAAATACAACAGCAAGACGATTGTGATAATATTTGTCAGCAAAACAACTGTTAAATATAGAAAAATACATAGAAATAACAAATTTACATGGAACTAAGGAATCACAACAATTAAAATATCCTGCTTTGATTTAAAAAATGACGATCAGTATGTTTTACATGGTCAGAGGTTTACATACATTTTTTTTTTTAAATGTAAAGGAAATCTAATATTTTTCTTCTGCATTTGAGCAATGAAATCAGCATAAACCTGCACTGACATGAAAAAACAAACCAAAAAAACTCTGAATCTGAATTTATGGTAGATTTTCTCTAAAGCGCACAAAACAGTAATTAATTAATAATTAATTACTAATTAATAATAGTAATTAATAATAAGTGCCTCATTTAAAGCAGATAGAACATTTATGGTGAAAGACGACATCTAAATCGATCCAATTCACCTCACATCAGAAGCTGGACGAATTAAAAACATGGAAAGCTAGCTGCTTTGGCAGAACGATGATCAAAAACCTATTTCAGAACTTGTTTTGAATGAATTATGGGGGCCAAACATCAATCATATATAACAGTACTCTGAATGCTGTTATGGTTTTGTGAACTAAGCTTAAAGTAATCAAATCATGTCAATGAACTACAGCAATTATATAAAAAAATGGTGGCTTCAACTTAAATATATTCTTTTAACCAAATATTAGTGTTACTTTATGTCAAAATATGAGCCTGCCTGCATGATTTTGATCTATTTAGTTAAATTCTACATTAAATAGAACCATTTGATAAAAGTGACCAAAGTTGTTTATTGTTTTTCCGCTCTGAAAAAACAGATCATTCCTGCTAGTGCTGAGTGTAGTGTATGTAAACCTCTGATCAGAAAGATCTACTCTAAAAACCAAAATATGTAAATTAAACCATCCTGTCATGTTATGTAAGCCTGAACACTCATCTAATCGATCTAAATGAAGCAATTCAGATGATTAATAGCCCTGTTTACTGACACAGCATGGAGACTTAAAATTAATCTTCCTTACAAAAGAAACTAATGAAATATAGCAGAAGCTAATCGTAGCAGACAATCTAGTACTCAGCTCATACTCTAGAGCCTAAAGTCCTTTTCATCATTACAAAACTGATCTTTTTTTTTAAGTTTGCACAATTTGAGCACAAAGCTGTATTGTGCAAACATCAATTGTGCCAGCAGGGTGCAGTGTTGAAGCTCAGTAGCTTGGTACTGCTCTAATAATGCATGCTTGTGTGAATGAATGGAATTGGTGGCTATCATCGGAAATGTCAGTGTGGGAGAGTGGAGTAAAGAGCCACGCAGGAAAATAGAGGGTCACTACTTATGTCTGGCGGGTACATTGTGTTAGTCCAATTACAGAACGCTGTGCTCACACAGAAAATAAAAGCATACAGTTATAAGGAATATATAATCAGAAAGATCAATATATTCCTCATGCAATAATTTCTGAACCGGGGGGGAGCTGTGCTCTCCTTCACACTGGCCAATTATTGGAAGTCAAATGTTAGGGCTGTTTTGGGTTTTAAATGAGAGCCCAATTGTGCAGAGCTGCTTGACTGCAGGTCATCGGTGAGTGATCAAGCCAGTGGAGGTCGAGGCGGCCCTCAGCCACCTTTGTAACAGCATCTTGCTCTCATTAATGATGCAATTACATCCATAAAAACCTCCCCGCGGAGCAGATGCAGTGAGGGCGCAGGCAGGTAGAGCCGGAGATTTTTGTCAGCAGCCCTTTTTTCACCCCCATCATCAAACTGTGGCACCGCTGTTTGGACTTCCACTTTGGATCGAAGAGCAGGCTGACAAAAGTCTCCATGGCGACAGTGCAATCTGTAAATCATGCTGCGACAGACGTGTCTTCTCCTTCCATCTCTGCCTCTTCCTCCCGCCCCTCCTGCAGGAGCGCCAGTCCTCCCTCTCCTCCTGTACCCTTCCATACCTTTCCTTCGCCTCCGCCTTTTTTCCCCCTGTAATTAAAAATCCCTCCTTCTTGACTGACATTATCACCTCTGCTTCACTTTTCTGCCTGTGCGCTATCACTTCTTTTGCCCTCTCCTTCTTTTCTCACGTTGATGCTTTAATTAGTTGAGACAGAAAGAGAGGTGGGAGGATGAGGAAGACATAACATAACGTTCACTTAACATTCAACCAACGTCCAAGTCAACATGCCGCCTTGGAGCAGACAGGGTGATACACTCTGGGAGTGTGTGCATGTTAGTGGGGCAGCTTTATGAGGGGTTTTTATGAGCTGAGGATGAGAATCCTGCAGTACCTTCAGCATCCTTAGACATGTACAGGGAAAGCTTGGTACCATAGGGGATCCGTATTGAATCTGAACCAGGGATGAAGAAGAGGGTTACACAAACTGAACACACACAGTAACAGATTTACAGAAACACACAAACACATAATTAAGCCAGTCTTAGTTCTCTGGGTGGTGCAGGACTACACACAAAACCAGAAACAGCAGGGGAGAAAATGAAAATCCCTCCGAGAGAACTGATTACCTGCTCCAGCCTAAGAGCGTAAATCCTGCCTTCGGCTAATTGCAACAGCAACAGTCAAACCTCTCTTCCTGTTAGCCTTAATGGGACCTGTAAATAACCGCTCCTCTCAGTGTGGATCAGGCCTAATGGTGTAGACAACACATTTAATAATTCTGTTTCTCCATCTTTGTCCTTTGTCCAAGTCTCCAGCATCAACAGATGTCAAATCTATGGAACATGTAGCTGACCTCTTCCTGAATCCATCAGTGCGTCGGCTAGGGATGGCTGACACAGCGCTGAGAACAACCGTATCATCCAGTTAGATGCCAGAGGTAAGGAAGACGTTAAGAGAATATGGAATAAATAAGGTTTAAAAAGGAGCTAGAATGAATCAGAAAGGGTTCACAATGATTCCTAACATTCCCTGAAATTAATTCTTTTGAAGGTGGGTAGAGGATGTTGGTAAATAATCTGATTGTCATCTGTCCGTGCAAATAATCCAGTTGTTGAATTAAGATGATCATCCACAAGCCTGGCTTGTTGTCAGGACCCACTAAGGAAACAGCTCCTGTTAAGTTTCTGAGGAGCTGAATAACCTTTGATTAGCTGACCACATTTAGCTATCATTCAGTACAAATCAAATTTTTTTTTTTACACATTATCATGTTGCATTCATGGTGAACCTCTTTGATGGCACTTTCCATGAAGAGGGAAAAGTAGAGCAACAACTATAATCAGTATCTCAGTTCAAAACACCTAAATAACACGAACGTGGTTATGGATTAGTGTAATTAAGTTGCTCACATAGCTGTGGAAAAGCAAGAACACTTTAAAACTATAAACAGATAATTCTTTAAAAGCTGAAGAAAATGTACCAAAGATAATAAAACAATAACTATTACCTCTTAAAAGAAGTCTGGATTGTATGTGGCACAGAGTTGTCGAATACAACCCAAAAATACACTGCCTGGCCAAAAAAAAAAGTCGCCACCAAAAAAAAGGTCACTCACTCTTATACTTTGTTGGACCGCCTTTAGCTTTGATTACAGAACGCATTAGCTGTGGCATTGTTTCGATAAGCTTCTGCAATGTCAAAAGATTTATTTCCATCCAGTGTTGCATTAATTTTTCACCAAGATCTTGCATTGATGATGTTAAGAGTCTGACCGCTGCGCAAAGCCCTCTCTAGCACATCCCAAAGATTCTCAATGGGGTTGAGGTCTGGACTCTGTGGTGGCAATTCCATGTGTGAAAATGATGTGTCAGGCTCCCTGAACCAGTCTTTCACAATTTGAGCCCGATGAATCCTGGCATTGTCATCTTGGAATATGCCTGTGCCATCAGGGAAGAAAAAGTCCATTGATGGAATAACCTGGTCATTCAGTATATTCAGGTAGTCAGTTGACCTCATTCTTTGAGCACATACTGTTGCTGAACCTAGACCTGACCAACTGCAGCAACCCCAGATCATAACACCGCCCCCACAGGCTTGTACAGTAGGCACTAGGCATGGTGGGTGCATCACTTCACCTGCCTCTCTTTTTACCCTGATTCGCCCATCACTCTGGAACAGGGTAAATCTGGACTCATCAGACCACATGACCTTCTTCCATTGCTCCACAGTCCAATCTTTATGCTCCCTAGCAAATTGAAGCCTTTTTTTCTGGTTAGTCTCACTGATTAGTGGTTTTCTTACGGCTACACAGCTGTTCAGTCCCAATCCCTTGAGTTCCCTTCACATTGTGCGTGTGGAAATGCTCTTACTTTCAGTATTAAACAGCCCTGAGTTCTACTGTTGTTTTTCTTCGATTTGATCACACCACACGTTTAAGTGATCGCCGATCACGATCATTCAGGATTTTTTTCCGGCCACATTTCTTCCTCGAAGATGATGGGTCCCCACTATCCTTCCAGTTTTTAATAATGCGTTGGACAGTTCTTAACCCAATTTTAGTAGTTTCTGCAATCTCTTTAGATGTTTTCTCTGCTTGATGCATGCCAATGATTTGACCCTTCTCAAATAGACTAACATCTTTTCCACGACCCTGGGATGTGTCTTTCGACATGGTTGTTTAGGAAATGAGAAGCAAGTCATTGCACCAGTTGTGGTTAAATAACTTGTTGCCAGCTGACAGATAATCGCCCATGCAGTAATTATCCAATAGGAGGCTCGTACCTATTTGCTTAGTTGAATCCAGGTGCCGACTTTTTTTTTGGCCAGGCAGTGTATTTCGATGCAATTAAATAAGTAATATGTAGTTAAAATGTTTGGAAAAGCTAATTTTAGGCAAATATTCTCCTAAAGCAGCAGACATGCTCATATTTTATCATCTTACAGACGGTTTTCAGAATTATCAAGTGTGGTGTGAGTTTTCCTTCAGCACTTCTAAGTGAATGATCAACCTCTGTTTCAGCTACAACTCTTTAGGTTGTGCTTCTACAAGTTTTTAAAGACTGAATTTGTTGCCTGTTGTGCTTTATGAAATAGCTCAGATTTAACCAAGTGTATCTGTTTTCATGTTTTCAAGCTTAGCCACTGATTCTGAATGGGATTAATAAACTTTGAATGGGCCATGAACATGTTTAGATCTCATCCTATGGTTCTTGAACTGTGATGGTTTCAGTGGTACTTCTTCTGGTAGATTCATGAGAAGTGGTGCATTGCCCATTTCTCAAGACTATTGTAGCCTCTAAACTTTAGATTTTGTCACACTAAAGAAAAGCATCCCGACAGCATGACACTGTTTCAGTTTCAACATACTTTGTTCAGTATTTTTTTTCCACCATAATAAATATTGGATGCAGGATAAAAAATGTGAGGCTTCAGCCTATTCTAACAACATTACTATCTTTTATGGGCTAGGTTGCTATATGGATTTGGGCATTCTTTCACCTGGTCAGTAGTATTACTAATAGTATTATTACTAATAAAGGTGGAATATCCCTTCTGAGCTGTGGATCTCTGCAGATCCTCCATCTTTGCCTATTTGTCTTTTATGCGTTTATCCGTCTGTCATTTTAGGTAGACGTTGTGTCTCGTTAGGCGTGGAGTTATGTCATGCTCGTTCTACTTTCAGATGTGGAATTAAGCAAGACATACAAACGTGGAATATTATTTTCTTATCAGACTCCATTTTAAACTTCTCTGTAAGCTTTCTCTCTTACATTTCTGCTGCATTCATTGCTTTTCGTGAGGCTTTATGTTCCCTGAAGCTGTTTAACTGTGGCATTTATACCGACATTAAACTAAACATAGTTAAATGATTTTTTAATAGCAAAGGCAATATTTTAAGGGGACTGAATAAATACAGTATCATATACACATTGCCTAAAAAAGTTTAAAAAAAAAGTTCTATTTATCGACTTGTTGTTGCAAGTAACCTCTATTCCAACCTATATTTATTAAATCCTAATGTTCTTGTGACCCTGCAGAAGTTTAACTGCATCGTCAGTTTTGGTTTCTGAGTTGCAACAACATAACTGGCTTGATTCTCAGCAGACTTTGCCTAAAAGGCGGAGAAGAAAAACAGTGGAGAGAAACTTAACACCATAAAAAAATTTTTTTCATCTAGCCCCATAATGAATAGCTAACATAGAGTGCTGTTTAATGAAAGCTCTGTCAAATACATTGTGAGAAGATAAGGTATCAGTCAAAGAGAGATAAGACTGTGTGAGAACTGCTCAGAATTGTTTAACTAACCCTAACACTGGCAGACGGACGGGTCAAAGAGTCCCTCTGCAGAAAGAATTTTATGCAAATTTTCAAGTGAAGCCTAAAAGGGCCACACAAGGTCACAAAGATCTGCAGACATATGAACACCTGTCAAACAGCCCCCAACCCCAAAAGTGATTTTAATATGAAGAGCTTTACCATCTCCAAGAGGTGAAGGGAACACGGGCATCTCATAGCCAGTGGGCGTCTGTGGGGAGCTCTGAGAGCTGGTGTCTCTGGAACTGCAGTTAGAGGCTGAGCTCACCGGCGCTGACGAGACAAAATAGATGTCCGACTGTGGGCGGAAAAACAGAAGCAAGCAGAGTGTAGTAGAGGCCAGGAACAGCAGATAGATAACAGACATAAGATGAAAGGAAGAAAAAAAAGAAACATAAAAGAGACAAAGGTGTGTGTTTGATGGCAGGTGAATGCTTTTTCTTTCATATTTTATTTTATGACAAATTATTAGTTAAAGTAACAGACCTGGAAATTACTCTAAACAACTGAAAATATTTACATAAGACATAGACATAAATAGGAATACCTTGAAGGGTTGATTTATTTTAGCATTTCTATGTAAAAAGTGATAAGCATATAAAAAGAGTTTTATAATCACACCCATTTTTCTCTGATCATGTTGATGACCTAATCTTAAATTAAAACAAAACCAAATCAATTTTACTATTGAAATTATTATAAATAGTAAAAATGAATTATGATAAATTATGATAAATATGTGTAGCCTGTGTAATTTTTCTTATCATTTTATACAGTAAAGTTATGCAGTGTAAATGCAATAATCCAAGTCAACTATTGTGGAGTCTTCCCTTAGCTCTCTACCTTGAAGATACTTTTATATCTAAGGGAAACATATTCCGGGACATTACAACTTTTTTCTTTTTTTATGCGTTTTTGTACAATATACATTTCTTTTATATTGTCTGTTTTATTTTTTTTATCTTTAATGGCATGTTGCTTTAACTCTTTGTACTTTATATAAGCTACTGGAACCAGAATTTCCCTGAAGGAGTAATCCCAAGGGATAAATAAAGTTGAGTTTAAGTCTAAGACTTAACAATACTGTGTGTTTGCTTAGTGCATAATACATGAAAGCCTATATCCTGGTATATACTGAGTTTAGGGGCTCCTGAAGCACTGAATTTTCAAAAGCATGTTTTCCTACAACTGTGTATGCAAGTGATACCATCTCTCTATCGAAATTTATTTCAATTAAACTTATGCATCGAATAGTAAGTTCTTAATAACTGGACACATTATATCTGTCTCATAAGGGATTATCCAATTTACATAATCAAAATATAAAAATAAATTACCTTAATGTCTGGTACAGCTAAAGGTACATTTGTTTGGACAAATAAATGAAAAATAACAAAAGTCTAATATATAATGAAAAAAACTATTTCACATGGTTTCTTCATAACAACTAACATCCCGAGATTTTAGCTCCATGCTGCAGCTACTACCAAAAACAGCTGTCAGGAAATGTTCTGTTTTAGTGACATTATGCAAATATGAGTTATCACTCGATTGAATAAGCATTGTTTTTGAAAACAAGGGTGGTCTAATATTTCTTTGCATGACTGCAAATCTATCTTATGCTGTATGCAGGGGTTTATATTTGCATAACCTCTGGTGGAAAAGCCCTTACACTTAAGGTAACTTTTGTGTGCCACATGAGCAGCATAATTTTGTATTGTAAAACCTTTATGTAAGCTGAAGTGAGGTGTCAAATATTTATAAAACGATCTAAAAATGCCTTATTACCCTTAATTTGATTAGTTAAATAAGATCACCCAGTGGAATGAGCATTTTTACCCTTAAAATAAGATAATTTGATATTAAACACGTGAAACAAGAGACTGCAGTTGGTTTCTTAAATGTAAATTTTCTTATTCCATTGGCAAAGTGTCTCACTTACCTACTCAATTAAAGAAAAAAAATCCTTTACTTTAAGAAAAAAAGACTTAAATTTTTGCAGTGCTGTTAGTTTGTTTCTTTCTTAATCAAAAAGCTGCACACATATTCTATTTTCTGTTATTAGCGATTACTCATTTTGCCATTGATGTGCAGTTCTAATCAATCATAGGAACATTTTAGATCAGAATAATAACCCAGAGCCAACTGTGTCACTGTTAAAATGTGAAAGACAGTTTTTGCTCTGGGAAACAAGCATTTGTTGGCTCAAAAAAAGCCCTGGCCTAAAGGTGTAACTGCATCTAATCATACTGACCCTTGAGGAAGCCAGCTGCAGCTCCGGGACAACCGCTGTGTACACTAGGTTCCCATTGACCACCAGTCGGATCTCAATGGAATCCGTTGTGAAGGCGAGGATGTAAGGAAAAGCACAAACTACAAACACAAGATGAGCACATGAAATCTGGTTATTAGTTTATTAGCTTTATTTTTACACACAATCACAAGCGCAAAAAAAAAAAAAATGGAGATAATCTGATAGGACAGGATGCTTCTCGTCATGCCTGGTGTTTCCATGGTGACAGCAATGGGAAGGGTGGGGTGCTACCTACCAATTGCATTGGGCATCTGGTTCCAGCTGAAGTGGAAATCAGAGGTGTTGGACTGGATCATCGGTGTGGAGCCATTAAATGGGCAAACTTTCTTATAATAGCAAATATCTGGACAGAAAAACAGGTGCAGATTTTTAAAGACGAGTGTCTTTTCCATTTTTTATTACTGCTTTTTACTGTAGTTGGAACCAGCACTGAAAGCAAAACATATTTTTACTTGACAAAGTTGTTCAGAGTAAAAAAAACAAAAAACAAACAACTTTGATTTACAGTGTCTTACAAAGTACTTTTGTCTTACATAGTCCACTTTTTTATGTCAAAAAGAAACGTAAATGTATTCTGTGATCAATAATTAATAGTACCAAGTGGAAATAAAGGTTTCACTGCATCTTTTGACTCTAATATGCCTAGATAACATTCAGTGCAACCAAACGTCTCCAGGAGTCATTTTATAAGTAAACAGAGTCTACAACACTGCATGGCATACAGAACACAGCAATTTCACTTTCAAACATGGTGGTGGCAGAAACATGCTGCAGGGTTGCTTTTCCTCAGTGAAAAAAAAATTATGCAACTGTTTTTTTGTTGCATTTAAATAATCTTATTTAGTTACTTTAACAGAATTGTTTCATGTTAGCAGGGTAGGAGATAAAACAATTGTGTTAAAATAACTAAATATGATTAAGTAAATGCCAAAATGGTTGCAGAATTTTTTTCCGTCTGGGTTGGTTGCACAAAAAACGCTGGTGAAGATTTTCAGTCATCCAGGTCATAGTCACTCCAAAATTTCCAATTCCAATTAGCATGTTTTCAAAACAAAAACAAGGCTTTGTTGGGCTACTGTACAAAACCTCGAACTCAACGCTATTCCTGACAATTTGAATTGAAAAAGCTTCTCGGATGGGAATCGAAACGTCTTCAAACGTGAAAACAAAGTCCAGTGGATTGTTTTTAATGTTCTTTTTTTGAGTCGCACAAAAAAAACTAATGAAAAATTGTAACACGAAGGCTAAGGGCATGCAAACACTTCTGCTGCAAGGTGAATGTTTAAGAGCCCACTGTCCAGCTTTGACCTAAGTTATAAGGCATCTAAAATGTGAAAAGTCAAGGGGGGACTCACAGTTATAACACAAGAGCAGGCCTGCCTCCCCATCTTCATACACATCAATGGCTGCTACAAAGTTTACCTGCAGGCGGAGACAAGTCACTTTAAAGAAATCACTTGTACATCTGGAGAGTACAAAAGGTTAGAAATGGCAGAAGGTTTTTAAAGATTAATGTCAAGTCACTTCTTTAAAAGGGTATAAAATCATCTCCAATATATCAGCTTCAATGGCTACTTATTCTGTTAAATCTGAGTCTGAGGCTTTATTGCACCTTTTTGGGTGGTTATTATTGGCTACTTGAGCAGGATAGTGATTAGCAGGTAAAAAAAGCGCATTAATGTTTCACTCTCATTTATAATAAAAATTACAAGGAAGGATAAAGAAATGTATGTAAACAAACTCCTCACCCTGTTAGCGTCTACATGATGAAGTCGATAGGCATCCCCGGTGCTCTCATTAATCAGGTCAAACTGGTGTTTGTAGGCCACGCATATCATGTTGTCGTTTTCCCCTGTCGGACCGTCTACCAACGCCATCACCACAGGCGGATCACACAGACAGATCTCCTGAGTACAGGGTGGAAATCAAAATTTTGTGGAAACTTCCCCAGACCCACTCCTGTGGCCACCCCTACCAGCTGATTTGTTATTCCCATGTGGACATAATTCACTACGTCTGAAAAACAGCAGCTCCTCTCAAAAAATATCTACATAAAATTCTAATATCAAAGCTGAAAAGTACCGAATAGCTCTTTTCAGAGCCAGTTTTTGGTGTTTAATGGGAAGGAGGGATGTAATTGTGTGTAAACATAAATAAACACTGCTCAAACAATGTGATGTAAAATATGAATTGTGAAATGAATTCAATAAAGCAGGAGCTAAGGCTGATGAAGCTGCAAATTGATGGATGCATGAATAAGTATTGCCAGCAGATGGCGACATCACACATAATACAGTATTTATGTCTGTTGATTGTGCCTGGTGCAAAAGACTAAGAAAATGACTAAGTAAACAACTAACAACAAGAAGTTATTTTTAACAAGTCGTTTAACACCATTATTTTCAATTCTGGATCAATATTTTTGATTAATTAAATCTGTCCAGATGTTTGCTATACATTGGTTTATTTTAACCTCAACAAATATTTTGCTTTGGTATTTTTGACAAAGTATGTGTCTGGGCTACTTCAAGATAGCTTCCCTGTAGTGACTGTATTGGGTCCATGACTAGTTTGATCCACTGTAAAGAAAATCTTACTTAAATTCAAGCTTCTTGATTTACTAATTCTTGCTTTTAAAATTATTGCATTTTCATGTGATCTTTCCTCTCTCGCTCTCTCTCTCCTTTCCTATTCCCTCTTTCTTTCTCACCCCCCATCCGTTTCTTTGGCTATACGATATAACTCCCTAAATAATTTTTAATAAAGCTTCTAGCTCTGGGACATCGATTTGCAAAGCTTTGTTGGTAAAACAGGATACAAATAAAAAAAAAACTCATTGTCGTTGTATATTGTATAATAATAGCAAAATCGGTAAGACTGATTCATAAAAACTTTTTTTTATGAATCAGTCTTAAATTATCATTATTTATGCTAATGAGGATTATATTTAAATGTCTGACTGAATGTATATATATAAAAAAGCCTATACAAATCTAGAAAGTATGATAAGTATCTTATTCTGATTTATATCCAATAGATAAATGTTTAATTTATCTTGTGTAGTAAAATGTAGATTGACATACACATAATTTATAAAAGAAATGACACTAAAGAGTCTTCAGTTTTTGACTGTATTGATCTATATATCTATACATCTGCGTGTGTAAGTATGACTCTATGAGGAAACTAGGACAAAAAAGCATATATAAAAAAATCACATTTCTCACTTCCTTCTTGCTTGATGCAAAAGAAAAAAAAAATCCTTTATTCCTTATGCATGTGTATGTTGGGAAGGTCATACCCGTATATACTGAAATTCCTCCACTGGAGACTCTGTTCCTGAGGCGACGGCGCTGAAACGGGGATGTTTCCTGGTAATTAGGAGAAGTTTGGTTCTTATGGCTGCCACTATTCTCAGCTCGGAGCCGTGGTGGGTATTAATTGAATACAAATGGCAACCTGGTCCAAAGGAGAGATAGTTTAGAGGAGATGTGGAAGGTTGAACAAGCATTATAGCTGACATTGTATGGTGTTTTTCTACACATTAACTAACAAATAAAGCAACAATTATGTACCGTAAAAGAAAAACCCTGAGTTATCCAGAATATTCAAGTCCAAGTTATTTATCTGATCTATTGATTAATTGTTAAGAGCAATAAAATTTGCTCCTGTAAATACTTTACCTAAATAACATCTACTTTTAGGATTAGGAAGAATTTAGTATGCAAACCCAAAAAAAACAAAAACATGTTTAAGAATGAAAAGTCATAATTATTTTTAACCTTATTAAGATACATTTCTTTAGGCTCTTTATTTTTATTTAAAAAAAATTATGCAGACAGGAAGCAGGACTAGAAAGAGGGCGAAGACATGAGTCGGATGTCAGTAGGCCACGTCGAGGACCAAAGCCTCTGTGTTTAGATCAGTGGTGTCAAAAGTACACACATTTGTTACTTAAGTAGAAGTATAGATACTGCAGTTTACTGCAGTATCTACTTCTGGTAACACTCTGGTAAAAGTTGAAGTATCAACTTGACCTCTTTACTCAAGTAAAAGTGAAAAAGTATGTGCTCCAAAAACTACTTAAAGTATAAAAGTCTAAAGTAACCTTTAAGAAAAAGGCCAGATGCCACTATATGAATTGAAAGCACAATTTTTCCACTATTTCAAAAAATTCTTTGAGATGGGGCCAAAGATGAGGGAGGTCTTGTTGGTCTCTGTCTCCATCTCCCGATACGCTCTCGCCTGTGTCCGACCTTTCAGATGTTTAGACATGTTTTTCTGAATCCGACATTTTAGCATGGCATAGACAATTCACGTTTACAGTTTGAAGAACACCTGCTTGCTTCTGATGATTTCCTTTAACTAAGCAATGAGTGTTTGCGTTATAGGACTCATCCAATTACACTAGTTTTCACGAGATGTGGATGGCACCAATGATCTGCATTGGATGGCGCACATGACGTGAAATATATATTTAGAAACATTAAACCACGGGTAACTAATAAAAAATCAGTGGGGTCCGAATAAAGAAAATCAACCAGTAAAGGTCAGGAGACATTTTTAATGATCTGTTACTTTAAACAGAATTTAACACTGAAATAAAATGACGTATTTATGCATTCATGTTACACTGAATTAAAAAAAAAGAAGATGAAAAAATAAAAATAGAAATTGCCAAATATTACATCCTGTTCTATCTGAGAGGAGTTGACACTTGTACGACTGTATTCCTGTATATCCATCACTAGTTAAAAGACAAGATTCAGCAAATGCAAATTCTGCCCTGTAAAACAATGACAGCGCAATTGTCGCTGTACGATCCGAAGCCTCATTTGGAGCTTTTAAACAGGCTTTTGAAAAACTTTGACAATTTGCTGCTGTAATATTATAGATTTTTTATTTTTTATTCTTTAGAATAAAAAGCTAGCAGATATGCATAATCAGAAAATAACAGAAACACAATTATAGAGCATTCAGTATTGTAAGAAAGCCCACACTGTTTCTGAATAAATACATTATTGTATGAGTTACATTCCGTTTTTGTCTCTTTCCTTGTAAGTATGAAATGTCCCATGCTCCTGAATGCACCATAGCTGTCTGACGCTCGCGAATGCATCACTGGTCTGTGTAGATGAGCGTTTGATTTTCAGTTGAAGACAAAGCTTTGCAGTATTAAAACCCATGTCGGCTAATCGCTGTTTATTGTTGTGTGTGAATAACAAGAGATTTCAACAAATACATCAGCTTTACCTCGGACAAAATCTTTGGATTTAATGTTGTTCATAACATTGCAGTCCGCTAATCCGTGACCTGTGCTTTAAACCGAAGCCAAGAGTAACGAGTGACGTTTGTTTTAAAAATGTAAGGAATAGAAAGTAAAGATACTTGTGTGAAAATGAGTAGAAGTCAAAAGTAGGAGGAAAAATAAGTAATGGAGTAAAGTATAGATACCTAAAAAGTGTACTTAAGTACAGTAACGATGTATTTGTACTTCGTTACTTGACACCTGTGCTTTAGATCGTGCACTAATCCCTGCAGTATGGTCAACCCCCCCTAACATTTTTAAGAACTATTTTGGTGTGACACATATAGACATATATGAACATACAGCATATTTTTAAAACGAGAACCATTCCCTTCATGAAATTAACTTTGCTGGAAGTAGATGAAGCTGAGTCGGTTTACTGAATGGGAAAATTTTGGGGAAATAGATACATTTTAACTATTTTCACATCAGATTAACACGGGATCTTATATTACATATCAAGAATATAGGGCCAAATTATTTCTCCAACGATGCCCCAAAGATAGGAATGTCTAGTTTTGGCTTTTTTCAATAAATCAGGTATTTAACCACGTAGCATTCAAAGTTTTACATTATTCTTATTTCCCCATCTTGTTTTATATAATAAATGCCTTAGTCCAACTACAGTTATAGAAAAAAAAACCTATCTGTGTTTAACTTTTGAAATCACAAACTGGAAAAAAAATGCTTTAATTAGCTGAGTAATATCAGAAAAAAATGTATATTTGCGATATTGTTAAAAATTATGATCTTTATCTGATAGCAATCAAGCCTGGCATACAGTGTATGATCTTTTGCCAATTCTCTAGTTGTATGAGAATTTTTTGTATCCGGCCGAGTTTTAGCCTCATGGTTTGTCCTGCGTTGTGTAGCATACAGCAGGTAACGAGGGGCAATTAGCCTCTCCCACCCACCACCCGATCAGGTTTCAAATTTAGTCGGCCCTCGTTAGGTGTTTATGAGCAAATCCTGCTGCTGATGCAGAGCTATGAGCCTATTTACCAGAACCTCGAGCACTGCACATGTGAAAACAAGGGAATTCTTCTTCTAATATACTGACAAGTCTGACCAGCGTTATCTCTCTACGCTGAGTCCCATGTGTTGTTTTTGAGCGTGCAGAGTGAGCAGTTAGATCGCATCAGAGTTTCGGGGCCGTACAGCATAAGAACATGTATTGTGAGCTGGGAAATCTTAAACCCTGCAGTTTCGTTGTACAGTTTGAGCTGTAGCTGAGTACGATTGAAAATATTGTACAGTGTATGCCTGCCTTTAGATCCATAAATCAGTTGTAGACACTGAGTCCAAATGAATTCCATTTGACTGGCTAAACATATTGTTAAATAAAAAAAATCAAAACATGTAAGAAATTATGTCCAAAAAATCCTGTTAATTTTTCATATTGTGATGATGGTGATTCAGTTTACCGTGCCAGTATGTGGCGATTAATCATAGATGAGGTCACCAATCATTAAAAGGAAAGAGGCAGCTCCTTATGTCTTTTGGAAAATTTTCCTAACTTGTTCTAAAAGAGCCTCATTCTCAGGCATATTATATTTACCCAATTCTTTCTCGATCAACTCAGACCAATAAACTCAATATCCAACACCAGTGTTTAGAGCTCAAAGCCAATCGTTGAAGTCCATCATTTTCTACTTTGTTTACCTTTAGTTTTCTCTAGTTTGTTCTCTCTGCAGTCACACTTGCTTCTTACGAGCTGCCGTTCCTCCAGGCCTCTCTTGATGGCGCAGAGTCTAAACACATACAGCCGGGCGTCCTTTCCTGGACACAAAACAAGGGATTCTGCTGTTTTGCAAGAAGGTTATCTTTTTTGTTTTTTTTGCTTTTCCAGTATTGGCATCCTCCCACTAGCAGACATTGCATGTGGCAGAATTACTCTACTTAAGGCGCTGGTTCTCCCTCAAAGGGCAAACACATGCATGGGGAAAAAATGTTTACACTGACATCACATAATGTAATCACTGTCAAACCAAAGTCAACCATGTGTGTCAATGTTAGCAAAAACTAATCATCTGTATGGTAAATAATGACATAGTCACTGAGCTGAAGCAAACATGAAACAAATCCCACTGAGACTAGAGAGAACTCATACCAGAGGAAAATAACTCTTTGAACATTTTGGATATATTTTTTACGAAAAACATTGTTATTTTTTACCCTGTCACACCTTGACGATTTAGACAGCGTATGCTTGACGTACAGAAAATATGGCAAAAACACTAAATACGTTGGATAAGTTATGGACATGCTGAAGGATGCCGGCACACGTCGACATACGGCAAGTACGTCGAGACGTATGTTCATACATGGGCCATGAATCACAGGTAAGTTATTTGATTGTCGAAATACCTTAAGTGTAAGTTACTCATAAGTTGTGGCGTCTAGCTTATCGAAAACCTATGAGTAAGTTGTGTATAACTTAGGTGTAACTTATTAAGAACTTATCTCCAATGCATATCAACATATTTTACCTGTTCCAGACAACTGCTAAAGATGTTTCGAAACTGCAGCTACTGTTCAATGGTGTATTTGCGGCGTTTTGGTTTGAAAGGAGGTTCACAGGAGGAAAGCCTCAGTTCTCCTCCAGACTTCATCCCCATCATAGGATGAGCAAGAAGGAGAGTGAGATGCATCATCCCTGCGTTCATGCCCGCGGCCACAACCAACAATCTTTTTAGCAGACATGACGCTGAATCGGCTGCGACTGGAAACCCTCTTTCTTTCTGTTTTATTTTTTTCATTTATTTTTTTTGGCGGGAGGTAAACAGCCGCACAGTTAATACCGCGGTCCATCTTTTAATGCAGGACGGACGCCTCAGAGCGCATCGCTGCCCCCTCAGGACATTGGCTTGTGTATCATTTCATTGGCATTACGTTCGGATGCGTTATGTATAAGTTAGGCTTTCGTTGGACATAAGTTCTAGACTCATTATCAATATGTTATGTATACATCCAGAATTGAAAAAAATACATAGAAAGTTCAGCGTATGCCAACGTTTTAGTAGGCGTTCATGCGTATGCTGGCTAAATCGGCAAGGTGTGACAGGGACCTTTGTTTCAACATACCACAAAACATACCACATAATTGAAAAGTGGAAATAAAAAAACAAAGAAAAAAATCTGTTAAGAAATTCAGAGTTTTTTTAAGGTGAACAAACAGCTTCATGAGGCCCAAACAACACAGCAGACCGGTCTGGGATACTGATGTTTAAGGCCGGGTCTTTCAATAGGTTGCTTTCATGTGCATCAAACAACAGATGGAGGGCAGATGATAAAGAGCTTTGTGCTGCTTACGGATCTCCAAGAGCAAAAAGGGTTATTATCCAGAGCCCAAAGTTCATATTAGGTATTAAAATGTAAAAAGCTCATAGGGCAACTTTGGAAAAAACCTACATCTGTTAATACCTGTGTCTGCAGCTGTCCAACTGATTTATTTGCTGCCTCTGTTTATCATTGCATTGTGGTTAAATAGTAATTTAATAATAATGTTTAAGCTATGGTAAGTGTAATATGGACTATCTAGGGACTTTTTTGGCTGCATGAACTTCTGGTTTTGGTTAAATTGGCAGACTGGGCTCTAATGATCAATCTGTTTAATATTTCAATATATGCGCTAACGTTCACCTTGGCAAAGACCAAATGATTATTATCATGTACTGTATAGTTCCTAACTCACAAAAAAGTTACACATGTTCAGACATAAAGGCTTTTATCTGTTTTCATGTTAGATGTGACAACAGATACTTATCTTGATGAGCTACAGGTCACATCCAACATTTTGGTTAATTTTTTTTTTTTTTTTTGTATCTTTGTCTTGAAACTGCATTCATATCACTACAACACTGTTGCCCTGGAACTAGGGCTGCAGCTGACGACTGTTTAGCAAATCCATCAATCTGTCCATTATTTTTTGAATCAATTAATAATCCGATAGTAAAAGGTTCCTTAAAAAAGTTTTTTTAAAAATAAAAATTAAACTAGGTGAAACTAAAATGTTTCTGCTTGAGTTCTGGATAGATAAAACATTTTTTTTTTTTTATCTTAAATGCAAAATGTTTAGAGATTTTTTAACAATTTGATATAATTACTGCTCTATGTGGGTTGCTCTGTCAGCTAAAGACTTGTTTTACACTCTCTGTACTCCAGTTAGCGATTAATCGATTACTAAAATAGTTGATGAAGTACTTCATAGGGGCACAGAACAATAGTAATGATGATGAACCCCGTGGTCGGATCTGAATATGCCTGAAGCATCAAGGTGACTTTAAATAAGGGACCAATCAGTTACACACAGCAAAAATTGTCCATCTTACAAGGCTCTAGCTAAAACATCTTTTTAAGCTTGTTTTGAGTGTATAGAGCAAGGGCAGATTCTGTTAAATAATACGTCTTCTTGCCACATCGCCAGGCAGGACAGTGAAAAAAAATAAAATAAAAATAATGTCTTCTTTGGAAAATATCCACTCAAAATAACTGCAATAATCTGCCAGTACAGACTAGTGCACTTTCTTAAGACTTTTTGAAATCATGGTATATATTCTTCAATATGTTCATTAATTTAAACAACTTCAAACAGTCCCTTCTGTCTGCGCATATCATCATAAAAATTAGAAAACCGTAAAAAGTGATCTAAAAACTAAAAGTAAACTGTTATTAAAATAAGTGCATTTGCCATTAAACCGTGCATGTAAATATGATGATCTGCCAATGAAGGAGAAATTTTGTCCTTAAAATAATTATTAGTGGTGGGATGTGAATTTTTAAAGGAGTTCTGTAATTCATTAATCTTACTTTTTAATCCAATACTATATATTAACTAAATAAATCACCCTTTCAATTCAAAAACTTTGTTTCCTACTAAATTATTGTTGCTTGAGGAATGGGATAAAATGTAAAAAGGTAACCAAAAATGGTTAGAATGTCTTTGTTTTTTTCCTTTTGAATGGTAAGAGCGAAAAGAAATTGCATTTTTACTGCACTGCACCTCACAGATTTCCTCCAGCACAACCAGACCCATATGACCCCCTCTGAGTTTAGCTCTCTATAGGTCAGCTTTCTTAGATCTCAGTAGGAGAGCAACTGTACTTTGGACAAGCTCAGGTAAAAACAGTTAGCAGGTTTTGAACCAGATAGAGATTGAGAGATGATAGAGATGCATTTAGAGAGAATAATGAGAATAAACATCAGAACAGAGCTGAAAGAAAGGGAATCAGTCTCTGATATGCAGGGGGAAGTATAAAACAATATCAGTCCTTCTTTCAACCTACCTTTGTCTGCTCTGGTGATCAGAAGGTCCTGAGGCTCTAGAATGTGCATCTGCTTCACTGCAATGGTTTTGTCAAACACCTGCACTGGGGGAAGCGTCGGTGTCTCTGAAATACAATAAAGCAATCCCATCATCAAACGAGGGGTGAAAAATACATCCCAGCTGTGGAAGGAACAGTGTTATTGACTGCATGCCACTCACCAGCACCAGGCAGCACTGGATCAGGGCCTGCAACATGGACAGCATCATTATTACCATCATCCCAGCTTGATATTGAGCTATGTGTTGCATGATTATTTAAGAAAGACAGATCAAGATGAACTCACCGTCCAGCATCATGACCCCCGCAGTATCAGTCGCCACCAGCAGAGACTGACCCCACGAGTCAGCACAGACGATGTCATAGGGAAACGTGCTGCAGAAAGACTGGGATTCCCATGGCTGCAGAATTAGCCAAAAAAAAAAAAGTATAAGCAATGAAATAAACAAGGATAAACAAGGTCGACTAAAATGACACAAATGAGATAAATAAATAGACATAACCTTTTGTCTGTCAGAGTCTGACAGACAAAACCTGCTGTTTTAGTTCAGAGAGGTTCATCAATATTATCTATATTTTATAAATAGCAGTATGAAACATTTAAGCCTGGTTTATATCCGCCACATCCAACAGGGTGTAAGGGTGTGTGCGCCAAAAGTGACACAATCATGCCTTCCCTTCCACCGAGCACGCAGCCTCGGCACTAGGTCGCGCATCTCCGAATTTTTGTAACTTGGCACTGACCGCTTTCTAGATAGAAGGATATAAAGTTGTTCTCCATGAACAAGTTTGCTTGTACTGACATCAAATGGTGCAGAAAAACATTGTGGTTAAATTCGGTGTTGTTACTGTTCTTTCAGTGACTGAAAACATTATACAGGGGTGAGTTTATTGGCCAAGCTTGTGATACAACCAAGGATTTTAGTTTCAGTTTCCATGACATAAAATATAAAGAAAGTCTGAAAGAACTACGCAGAGTATACAATGCATTCAGGTTTTATTAAAAATGTTATTTAAAAAAAAAAGGTCAGGTGGAGATAGGCACCAGCACCCCTCGTGACCCCACTTGGGATTAAGCGTGTCAGAAAATTAATGGATGGATGGTACGTATGGGCTTCACAGGGGGTGGGGGCTGGTTTCCCCATTGTCACATCTCTCTTTTCTATTTCTGTGTAACACATCTCTTATTCTTCAATAATCATCAATTCTTAAACACACCCTGCTGACTTTGGGACCTAAGGAGTTGATGCATATGAGTCATTTTAAATGATTCCTCAGGCCAATATGCAGTGCTTGACTCTATCAATGCTACGAGCGGGGCTCCCCTCTTGAAATGAAGCCAATGTAAGTTGAGAGATGGCGCACCATGGTTGGCCAGGTCATTTGACCTGAAAGAATGCCCTTTCCAAACCAGCAGCTTTTCACTGGAGCTCTGCCGCTGGTCCTCCACTCCATGCACCGCGGTCTGACCTGTGCTTTCTAGACACGGGAGGCTTACCGGCTGACTGTTGAACTTTGCAACAATACTGCGGTGCTTGGGGCAACTAAGGGCTCTAGCATGAAAGTTACAGGTCTAGCGCACCTAGTGTCCAAAAGTTACGTGGTGAGCCTTTAAATAATGCGCTCATACATTTTGTAAGTGGGACGTAGACTGTTTCTTCTCTTTTTTTCTGTCTTTCCACTTGTTATGTTCATCAATGGCCCTTTGTGTTTTTTGTGAGTACTGCACCTACATCCACGTCAACTACGGTATAAAAGGGTTCAACATTTCTATGGGTTCATGACGGAGCACACAGACTGTAGCGACAACCCAATGTGTGAGTATATCTCGACCTTTAGGAAAATGCTCAAACCAAGAAAATAAACTTCTAATGGGTTAGAAACTGCTTCCTGATGAGACATTGTTATGCCAAGAAAAAAACTTCTGTTTAAGAAAGAGACTGTGATCTAAGTGGATGATCTTGTAAAGGTCCTTGTAAGAGAGGGTTTTAAAGTACAGTGAGGCAAGCCCTTTAAAAACCTCATCTGAAAAGACATCAGCAACAAAGAAGCCATTACCCCAAAAGCAATGTATAAACCCTGATTACAGTTTGCAAATGCTGAGGCAATAGGTCTTCTTTTTGGAGACAGTAAAAGAAGAAACTAAAAGTTAGGTTCTTGATATATTCTTTATAATAAAGTTGGGAAGACAGGAAGAAAAAATAGCAGCTTAAGAGCCTGCAGACAGAAACCTCAACTTTGACTTATGTAAGAGGCAGCGTCATGTAAGGTAGTGGCACTTTTCAAATCAGAACTGCATATATTTTGGAGGCGTCATAGCAACAGCTTAGCCAAGAAGTTAAACCTTACGTACAAATGAGTCTTGCATATGAGTGATGACCCTTTGCCTCCTGTCAAATCAGTTTAAAAGTGGCTTAAGAACAACAAAGTACATATAAGGATTTATCTATTACAAGCTCCTAATCTTAGTGTAATGATAATATGTAGACAGCGCTAAAAAAGTGGTGGTGAGCAAAACTGACACATTTACACTCTCATTTACACTCTCAGTGCTCTCAGTAATTATGGGTGGAAAAAGCTTGCGGGGGAAGTACCCAGAAAAAACAAAAACATATCAATTTTACTAAATACTGTAGAAACTGTCTGACTTAGACAACTCTTATTGTCAGATTATTTCCATTCCACAAAGTGTAGCAGTGATCAAATGTAAACAGTTTGGGAGTGAGGGGTCACTACTGATGTTACGGGCTCGGGACACGCAGCGTAAGGATGAAAGGTCTTTAATGGAGGGAGGAGGAGCCCCAATGATCTTCTCTGCTGTTCTCACCACTGTTCTCAATCTACTTCCAGTCTGAGGCACTGCAGCCTCCACCCCACACAGTGAGACAGCTGGTCAGAACGCTCTCTGTGGTGCTTCTGTAGAAGGTAGTGAGGATGGGTGGGGGCAGGTGGGCTCTCCTCATCCTCCTCAGGAAGTAAACTTCTACAGGCTTTTGACCAGTGAGGTGGTGTTAACAGTCTAGGTGAGTTTGTCTGTGATGTGAACCCCCAAGAATTTGGTGCTGTTGACCACCTCTAAAGCTGAGATGTTGATAACCAGTGGAGCGTGGTTATGCCAGTTTTTCCTGAAGTCGACAATGATCTCCATCATCTTTTCCATATTCAGATTCAGACTGTTATCTCTGCATCAGGCCACCAGCTGCTCCACCTCCACTCTGTAGCCCAGGTCGTTGTCATCTCTGACGAGAGCACCGTCGTGTCCTCTGTAATGTTCACAATGTGATTGGTGGTGAACCTGGGGACACAGTCATCTGTCATTAGGGTGAACAGGTGAGCATCAGGCTCCCCTCAGGATGCTGCCCTGAGGGGAGCCTGTGCTTATGTAGATGACATCAGAGGTGTTCTGTCTGTCCCAGACTGACTGAGGTCTGTTTGTGAGGAAGTCTAGCAGCTAATTGCAGAGGGGTGTATTGAATCCCAGCTGTTCCAGTTTGCCCATCAGATGCTGTGGGATGATGGTGTTGAAAGTTGAACTGAAGTCCAGGAAAAGCATCCGCATGTGGGTGTTTTTCTCCTCCAGGTGTGCTAGGCTCATGTGAACAGTGGAGGGGATGGCATCCTCAGTGGATTGATTGCGTTGGTAGGCAAACTGGGGCGGGTCTAATGTTAGGAGGGGGGAAAGGAGACAATGTGTTCTTTAACCAGCCTTTCAAAGTACTTCATCATGATAGCAGTCAGTGCGGCAGGCCGGTAATCATTGACTGAGTTGACCTGAGGCTTCTTTGGGACCGGAACGATGGTGGCAGACCTAAAGCATGCTGACATTATGGATTGATGCAGTGAAGTGTTAAAAATGTCTGTGAGGACATTAGCCAGCTGATCTGCACACTAATTGTACACTGGCCAGGTATGTTATCGGGGCCTGGGGGACTTTCTTTAGTTGACTTTACTCAGAGTTTTCCCCACATCAGCTATGTTGCAGTGCCTCAAACCTTCCAAAGAAGTTGTTTATTTCATTTAGGAAGTCAGAATCAGCTGCATCTACCAGGGGGAAGGGTGTGTTGTAGTCTGTGATCACCCTTATGCCTTGCAACATCCTCCTCGTGAGGCTGGCATCATGGCAGAGATCCTGGATTGACTGTGGTTCTGCTTTGCTGATCTGTTGGCACAGTTCAAGTCTGAACTCGCGGTTCTCTGTGCCTCTCTATCACCAGGCTTGAAAAGATGGGTTCTATGCTTTTAGCGATTTCCGAACCTCTCCAGACATCTAGGGTCGTTGGTTGGCCCGGGAGGTAATGTTCTTTGTGATGCTGACATCCTCAATGCATTTACTGATTTGGAATTTTCCTTCTCTTTCCTGGCATTTCGTAAATAGGCAACCCTTTTGTGATTCAAAGTCACACAGTAAGAAGAAATATTGCAAGTCTTCTTGTTTGATGTAAGGATGGTTTAATCAATATACTGATGGTAAGGAAATTCAAAGCAGTTTACATAACTCGGCCAAAGAAAACTAGTTTTTGTCACACTTAATGTGATCCACAATTTTACAAAATATCTGCCCACTAAAAAATATAAATTACTCCTGTATAATATTCAAAAACATCAACAAAACAAATTGAATGCAGTTAACGTCTTGAAAAAACTCCCACTCAGAATCATTAAGGACCTGTTTGGCTTTTAAGGATAGACTAACATTGATGTTGTGTTTTTCTGTCACCTCTTTTCTGCACAGACCCGTGGTAACAAGGCTTGTAGGTGCATCTCCTCGAACGATGGTCTTCAGCTTCAGAGCCTGGATAGGAGATAACATCTCATAAAACCCACATACAGACTGTATTTAAATACATGTGCATGGTCTGCAGTTTCTACATGTTTTCCACATGTCTTCCTTCATATGTGGTCATGTCAAAAACCACAAAATACTGTATTCCATTGATATTTTATGCAGAAGACAAAAAAAAAAGTTCAGAAATAAAAATGATGAATGACTGTTATTTTTTGTGTGGTGTCCATTTCCATCCAGCCCGCCTGATTCACCCCAAGAGATCAGTGTACAGTAGCCACTGCAAATTTAATCCAAAGTTGAAGATTATACTATTCATAAAAAAAATCTGGAGATAGTGGAATAAATTCCAACCAACTGTAGATGGTTTAGCAGCATTCAGTGTAGTCCAGTCATTCATTAAACACTGACAAAAAAATTTATCAATTCCATTTTTAGTCAGAAAAGCAAACTGTTTCTCACAGTTGCCTTTCATTTCATGCTTTACAGCACAATGTAGATATCCAGGTTTTCTCTTTCTCCGAGGCAAATAAAAGGGCCAGAGCAAAGGACATTCAAGTGGTCGCAAAATGAAGAGAATACAGGAATCTCTTCGAGGTGAGAGCACTTTAAGAGTTCATCTAAAAAGAGCTGTTAACTTCTCAGTGTCACTGTGAGCGACAGACAGAATGATTGCTGCAACACTTAAAGGTATAGTTGAGGATTTTCTTTTTCCAGGTGGATCGTCAAAATAAGTGGTCCTCCTAATTGCAAATCATTCTGGTGATATGTTTAGGTAAGGCCGTCCTATGTCCTCGTCCATATGTAGCTATATTTTTTTGCGCATGTGCACTTTAAGGTGCATATGTGTGATGAGCTACGGTTTCAGCCAGTTATTGAAGCTTGCCGTTCTCACAGCGGTTCTTTGTTGTCAATACATTTTCACTCACCTGAGATGAGTCGGACATAGTGGAAAAATTGCAAATCTTCTTTTGCAAAGTAAGCTTGTATGAGAGATGCAGACAGCAACTTTTGAACAGAGCGTGCACCAGGGGGATATGCGCCAGTCCATGCTCTTGCCTGCAATCAATTGGTGTTCCCTTTCGGGAGTGGGTACAGGGTTGTGCATGTGCATTTATTAATTTTTTTATAAAGTGGAGAGGGCTGGTTTTTTAAAAAATGTGTGAAAAGCCTTCACTATACCTTTAATATGTGCAGGCTTGTAGGACTAATACTCTGGATTATAGTTTGGGATCTCTTGTCCTAGTCCTCAAAAGCTATTATTCTCCATCTTTTGATGCATGGCTCCTCCTGATTTGTGTTAATGTATGTACTTTTAAATGTGTAATGCTGGTCTCTGCAAAACCCTTGTGCACAGTGCTGATGTGTTTGCGACTTTACCTGGCCTATTCTGACGAATTCAGCCTGCCGGGCCTCCTCTTTCTTACGCGCCGACTTCGGAGACTCAGGGAGCACGTCGCTAAAAGACCTCCTGTTTAACATGTTCTGGGGAGAAAAGGGAACCTAAACGTGGAACACACAAAAAATGGCACACAGGAGAAAGAGAAAGGAAAAAAAAGAAGGGGTCTTAGAGACTAACCCACAGTGGGTGTTTTTAGAAGCAGCAGTGAAAACAGTTTAAAATGAGTTGTGTTAGGGCCAGGGTGAAGGGGGACAAGTGGAAAAAAACCCAAGAGAAATAAGAACAAAAGCAATATGAGGAGAGGGAGCCCTGCTGAGAAAGTCAGCATTGCAGTGGTTTTCCAGTCAGTGTGGTGCAGTATGCGGAGGCAGACCGGGGGCTGCAGTTAGATATAGCAGAACACAGCTCAGCTGTGGTTACAGACGCTGCTGCTGGTGTCTGAGGTAACAGGAGGATTGAGGAAAATATGCCTTGGAGGGCCATAACTGAAGCCCTTCCTGCTCTCTGTGCGTGACTGACGGTCCAAAATGGTGCTCTACCTTGTGAAGGTCAGGCATCAGGTCTTGGTAGAGCGAGCGGATCAACATGTCAAGGGTCCGCTGACGTTTCTGGGCAAACGTTGGTGTCTCCAATGTGGCTTTCTCTCCATTGATTACTAAAAAAAATGAAGATATTAGTTAAAGTGAAATACATGAATTGGATCTCAATATTAGATCTGATTTGCTTTATTTGTTTTCATACATTTGACTAATAAAAAGTCCCTGAATTCATGGTGATCAGTAAACACAGGCGGAGATGGGAGAGGGGGTCCAAACAGTGGAACGCTCTCCTCAGAGAAAATCTTCAACCTGTAGCAAAGAGCAGTTTATACCTCCGAGATCCACCGCAAAAGCAGAGAAGAAAATTCTTGCAATAAAACTGCAATTAAGCCTACTCTAAACTCACCTGTAGCTGTCATTCTGGCTGTTGTACCTGACTAATGCAAAAATATCTGCAAAAATGAGTGAAGGAAAACTAAGCATGTTGTTTAAAGAGATAATTTCTGTGTTCTGCTTTTCCGTTTCAGACCTTGAGCTAGCAGTTCTCATGCAGTCGACAGCCACCTAATTTCTTTGACATTCATTGTCCATGTAAAGGATACGGGTGAAGTGTGATCGGATCATAGATGGTTTGAAGGACGATGACGCCTCGTCCCCTTCCTGAAATACTATGGTAACAATGTCGTTTCCAATGTGCCTCTTCCTCTCCACCTGCCAGAGAAACACAAGCGGCAGACGCTTCATCAAAAAGACCTGATTCACATTTTCTGTTCAATTTAATTTCCCTGTCGTTTGTTTGATCCTTTACAGAGCATATAGAAATAATTTATCACTGCATCATGATACCAACAGGAACTCTGATATCTGGTAACTATTTTAGCAGATTTTTCATACATGTTAGTTAGCTGTTTATAAAGAAATCTTAAACATGTAGCATGCATTTGTATACACATATTACTATGTACTTCAAAAGTCAAACTTTTGCTCAGAATGCAGCTTGGAAGAAAAATAACAGCTATATCCTAAACACACTAACCCAAAGTTAAAACATGGTGGAGGCAGAGTCATTATGGTTGGATTATTTTCTTTACAGAAGACAGCAAAACTGATCAGTTTACAAGTAAAGGAAATTAAGTTTAATACAAGAGAATGCTGAAAACACAAACTGTTAGAGTCAGCAAAAGATTGCACGGTATGGGAAACCCACTTCTTTAAGCACAACAATACTAAACACACAGTCAGAACAACATGGAAATATTTCAGAACAAAGATTGGTGATGCGTGAGATGGTCTCAATCTAATTCTCATGAAGTATCTGTTGCAACGAAATGTGATGGATTGATTTTTTTATGCCAATGAAGGAACATTTGAATTAAAAAACATAAGGAGGCTGCTGGTATCAGTCCAAAGCAAATAAATGGCTGAAAATATAAAAGTAAAGCAACAAATTGATACCAAAATTGGCGAGGACTGATGAAAAGTGACAAAGAACACATTAATAACCAAGCTGTAAAAAGGAATTCCCTTCATTTGGAATCATTCACTAATAATCAAAACCTTGAGTTCCTACTTTTTTTTATCATTACACTATTAACTTATATTAAATCATATTAATGGAACAATGTCCAGATAGGTGGCAAAGAGAAAAAAACACATAATTTTACAAGCTGAGATGAAATATCCTGGTGGGATACGGTTTATCTGCAGCTTCTTTTGGTGAGATGGAGAGGAATCGTGCAGCACTACAGCAACCACAGGATGAGCACACACTGTTCCCTATTACTGACAGCCAGAGTGTCTGTTCTTTAAACCAAATCCAATTATGTGTTAGATCTGCGAGCCAGCCACTCTTTTACATCACATATATAGGCATTACAAAGAAGAGAACCGTGGTTTTTCTCTCTTATTCTGTTTAAAGCTGCAGTATCTAGACGCTGTCAAAGACCTGGCTTCCTCTCAGAGCCCCTTTATTTTCTTAACTGAAATAACAGAGGTGTTTTTACACTATTACACATTTGAAGGTTCTCCTTACACACACATAGACACAGACCTGCTGTTTGTTCTCTTTAGAGTAGGGCAACATGGTGGAGACGTGGAACATGAGCTCATGCCCTTGATACACTGTGTAGATGGATTGAAGTCCTGTAGTGTCATCTGGAGGAACCACATCAAGATCAAGAAAAAATATATTTTAAAATCTGTTTTCAGTAAAAGGATGTTTATACAACTTAAAGGAGTAACTTCTTACTCTTGGTGTCGAGCCCTCCGCGATAGCCTGCCCATCCTTGCAGTGTAATGGTATCACCGAGCAGGTTGAGGAACTTGTCAAAGTTCTCGCTCCCCGTCTCTACAAATGTAAAAGCTCGTCAGCATTTACAGCATATCGTGCAAGAGAGGGCTTTGCAAAATTGTCTATAACCCCGAAAGATGTTTTTGTTTTGTTTTTTTTGTTTTTGTTTTTTTATAGCTGCATATCTACTGAGCTCATTTTAGTCTGAAACTCTAAAATAAAACCCAGTGGACACAACTGCCTTGAAAAGTTCTGCCTTGGTCTGTAAGGACCCACTCAGGTGTACATAAAAAAAGAGAAAAAAAAACATAATCAAGACCAAAAAAGACAAAAGAACATCTTGATAATATCAAAGTCTGGGGAAAATATCATGTGGAAAAACGAGAAAAACCTGGAACAGCTTGGAAAGTATGTGTCCACTACATTTAATTCGAAACAAATGCATTGATCTGGAACAAAGGTGGACAAAGCCACACGTGATGTGTCGTTTCTTCAAATGCAAAGAAAATATTAACTTATGAAAGGTATCATGGAAGTCTTGAGTGCTGCATTTCTGTTCTGCTCTGAGTACAGTTACAAAATTATTGTTGGTGTCAAGAGTAGCTCACCTAATGTAGAACTTTTAATTTTGAAACAGTGTTGGTGTCACTACTGTGAGCCAAGCGTGAAATGTGTCCTGCATGCTGGCAACAGCATTGTCGAGCAATAGATGGTAGATCAGATAACATTTCAGTAAATTCACTATTGCTCAAGGCTTTGTCAGGTGGTGGCTTATGTGTCATATATTTGGGTCAGATCAACCCTGGTTTATATTCACGGCACAAGGAAAATGCATCAGAAAGGGTTTGGAAGCAGACTGAGATAAAAGACAAAAGGTCAGAAACAAAGAGGGGAAACAAACTTAAGTCTATTAAAAGGGACTAAAGATGGCGCATGAATATACCTTATCAATCAATCACATTTTTACATGGGATTGTTTTGGATCTCTTTGGTGCCTAATTAAATGATATCATCAACTCAGATTATCTAATCTGATTCAAAAATCTATGTATTGATTTAAATTAAACATAAAAATGTAATTACAAAAGGAAAAACATTCAGATCCTTCCATTTCCTGTTAGATATCAGCGTATATTTATATACTAGAACAACCAAGAGGAAAATCTAATTATGGATCCATGGGGAGATTTGAACATTTCTACTAAAAAAACAAAAATATATATAAAAAAATGTGTTGCTTGATGAACAAAGCAGTGACATCCCAAAACAGATAACATATTTCATGCAATTTTAAGGAAATAAGTCTACCATCTGTGAAAAAGCTTGAGACACATAAACACTGATTTAAAACACAGGAGCACTTTAGGAACAACATTTGAAAATTAGTTTCTTTTTTTGGGAAAAAAATATTACTTTTGGTGTGATCTAAAAATGGCTGGGCTTTCACCTTATTATAGGGTAAATCTAAACTAAGATAAGCTAATAACTCCTAGCATTTAAAACTACGCCGAAAAATACAGAAAACAAACAAACACACGCTCTCGCACACAAAACACTTCTCAACTATTTTCTTGTTAACCTTTTAACAAAAGATAAAAAATGCTATTTAAACCAATATGCATATTAATAATCTTGTTACTATATTCATGGTTTCATGGTATTTCAGTTGTATATGGCTACAAGATCACCCTATTTTAATTCTAGAAGTTTAAAGGTAAGGACAAATAGAGAGCACCAGAATACATATACAAAACAGTTGAATATAATACACATTTCATTAAAACACCAACAACAAAAAACAGACATAAAATATCAATAAAGTAAGCCAATAGACTTTTACCATTGCTAAACATTTCGTCATCTGTGAGCTGTCCATCTTTGGCGTACAGCACACCAAATTTAAAGTTGACAGAACCCTACAAAATAAGAGATGATCACTGTAGCAAAGAAACAGCTCATATGGATGTTTCTGCTGAAAAATGCACACAGTTTAGAAAATTACACCAAACACATTATGACATTTACTTTGCAAGTTGCATTAAAAATGCTGCTATATCAGATCAACAACTATGCATGAAAGCATATACAAAATATATTGAATAATCATAACTAAACTGACTTAAAAAACAGCACAAATAAGACAAACGGTACTTCATCCTTTCATACCTCTTGTTCCTCCAACACCAGCAGGTCCTGAGGAAAGAGGAAATAAAAACTGTCATTCATACTAACCAGCACAGCGGTGAGAGATGACACAGCCTGAGGACATTATAAAGTTTAGGTGTTGCTGATCAGGCTTGGCGTGAAATGAACCGCTGCTCTGTTGTGAACGGGGAGGCGGCTGTTGCTCCAGTGTCACTCTCACCTTCTGAATCTCCGGGTTGAGGATCTCCCTGGGGCCTTTCTCAAACCTGTCCATGTTCATTGCGCTGTAATAGGAGAAAAGAGAGCCGGAAATGAAAGATTGGAAAAAGCGCGGTATAGAAAAGAGAGAAGGAATAGCAGGGATTTAGAAGTGACTGAAGACAAATGGCTTAGAAAGTTATACTGAAAAATGAGAACTGATATGGGGGATTTCACATTAATTTTCAATGATTTGGGCTTGTTTGAATTTCACTTGTGATACTTTCCACCCCTGAGGAATTTTCCAATCTCCTCTGTCATATCCCTTCTTATATCCTTTATCTAGTCTCCCACACCATTTGCTACCTGAAACACAATATCTTATGCACAAATAACTATAACTGTGATTATAAACTACTGTAAATAAATATGTGTTCCACTCTTCTGAAAAATTATTATTGAAATTATACGGTCCTATTGTTTTGGGGCATTTCAACTATTTTATAGTAGAAACAATGTTTTTCATATTAAAAACCAGGGTTTTTTGGTATTATGGTGACACAGCACAGAGTAATGGACATCAGCTCCTACATCCTTTTGCACTTTTTTTTTTTGATATAAGAAGAAGAATCCATATCTTCAGGTATGAAAACAGAGTGTTTTGAACCCACTTGAGGATGCTTCAAATCAATTTTAAATGGGCTAGTTGCTGTATATGCCCCTTGCTTACTCTAGCTACATCTAGTATTTTGGGAAAATTACTATATTCTGCTGGCATATTGTTAGCTATTTGTGTATTTTATGTGTTGTTTGAATTTGTGTATATTTACAATAACAGCAGCATGTGACAGAAAGTATATGATACTGGGCAAGTGTGCAAGGATGTAATGGGGTTAAGCAAGTTAGAGTCTCCCCTGGTGAAAGTTGTGATAATAATTAAGAAAAGTCCAAGATCCAGTGCGAAAAAGAGCAAAAAATAAAAATAAAAACATAATTCCAAGAGGGACAAGGCTCAAGTAGTGTTTTAAATACAACATGAATGGTGATGCTCCATTAAACATACATCCTACTTCTTTAAGTAGGAGCAAAAGCTGTGGAGACATTCACATTTTGCTGAGAAGCTGATGGATGCATTAATACTGATACTAGTTACAGCAATGTTATTCTTAGTCTCTACAGTCTAAGTCTTTTCATCAGACTGTTGAACTATTGAACTCTAAACTCTGCATCACATTTGGTACATGAATTTTGCCCAAACAACGTGGCTGAACTTTTATAATCCTTTTAAATAGGACACAACTCAATGTTCTACTGCATTTTGCACCATATTTATTTTGCACTCCACTAACCCTTTTCATGTTTCCATTATTCCATTATTTTAAACTGGTTTCTTTTTCTCTTATATTGTTACATTCTGATAACTGCAGCAATTTATATTGGTAATGTTTATCTTACTCCGACTGCAATATCATTATACTGTTGTAAGCTGTATGCAACGTAATTTTGTTTTGTATACACTCTATGCATACAAACTGACAATAAAGTTTGTCTAATTACAAAACAACATTAGAAATTGATATAATGATAAGAATAAAAACAAATGAAGGAATAATTAAATAAATATATATAATCTGGTCCGTAGGGAGCTGGAGATAAGCAACAGCACCCCTCGCGACCCCCGTTGGGATAAGTGTGACAGAAAGTGGATGGATATATAATCTAATTTCAGAAAATATTTATTATACTGTACATTATATTAAATTCTATTCTATTCTTATATATAATATTATATTGTTTCAGTATAATATAATTAAAGATTAGATCATTATCCTAATTATTTATCTTCATGATGTCCATGTCCTAGAATTAACATAAGAAAAAGAAAAAAACTAAATAACACTGCTTTTATAATTAGAGTTTTTTAAATCTTACTTTATCTTACCTTAGGATGGACTTGACTGATAGTGTTTTAGTTGGGCTATAGGGGAGGCTGATCTTCAAAGTTCCCTAAGTGAAAAATAATGACAAACATTTGGAATTAAAACACTGAGTCTAAGAGTAACTTACTTATTTTGAGAAAATAATTATTTTTGAACATGCTTTCCTCCTGATTTCTGTAAATTTCCAATGATAATAAGACAACTTGTATAATTCTACCCAAATAGGTTGCACGGACAACTTGGAGGTTCTTCAATTACAGGCAAAGTAATTGCAGCGTTGCTTTGTTGCAGAACGCCGACAACACAAACATCCTGTACAAGTTAAGAGTCCTGTCAGAAACAAGACAAATCAATATGCTCATGCAGCAGAGGTCCACCGCCTTAATCAGGTTCCAGACGAGGCTGCAGACCAAAATTAGATTCATGATATCCTGATCATGTAACTGAATCACTGAACAGCAAACAAACATTAATCAACATGCAACTTGCACACACCTACACACACTGGGATTTAAAAGTGGAATCACATCACTGCCAAACAAAGCAGTTTGGGTTTATTTACAGAGCTTTAATGATGCATGGAGAAATATTTATACAAAGGATTAACTTGTCCACTTGGGTGCTAATAGTTGAAGAACACGATGCGTTGGAGATGTTGTATTAAAGTGACTATAAAGTGACTTTTTTCTTAATTAAAAAGTATTGGAAAATGTTAAGCATGTTTAATTGGAAGTTTTTTTTAATTTTTTATGAATCTTTATAACCCATTATAAAGTTTACAGAGATGGTAGGGTTGGCTCACTCACCGTCTTTCTCCACAGGATAGCTCGGTACTGAGGGACCCGCTGGTTGTTCTGGTCAGAGAGGACAACTGACAGGTAGAAAGGGTTTTTCTCAGCATCTGTACCCACATAGTTCTGGTGGACTGAAGAAAAGAAAAGCACGATGATGAATGTTATGCAGCACACCACAGAACTATTGTTTTTAAAAGTTTTATCTGCATGTTGCAAATTCAAACTTTAAAGCTGACTGCATTCAGTTGCAGGAGGAGGCTTTTTGGAATACAGCCGCTTCGCACACAGAATGTTTTGTCCTATTTGTCTTTGTGAAACAGCTTAAGCTCAGTTATTATAGATGAAGATTGTTTGTGGTCATTAATTTTCAAACTATACCACAGACTCTCAATTGGATTTAGGCTATGGCATTGACAGCCTTTCCCAAAAGTAATCAAAATTGAACCTAAACCATTTCTATTTGGTGCTAGGTATGTTTTCAGTTCTGCTTTCCTGCTCAATAGTGAAGCTCTTCTCTATTATCAAGCATTTTTCAAACACATTTTCTCTTTAAAAACAGGTCAGAAATGAGCTCTGAGCATCAACTCTGTGCAGCCTCTCCCTCCCTGATGGAAAAAGCATCCCATGAACATCATGCTGCCACCTTCGTGTTTAACCTGTCACCAGTGTTCCTTTAGTCTTCTTCACAGGTTTTTCATTAATCAGCTCAAACAAACTGCTTCATAGACCAACTGGATTTATACTGAGATTAGAACACCCACACAGTTTGACTTTTTTAGTTGTGTGACTTACGAAGTCAAAAATGTTTGCAAGACAATTTTATAATGCGCTTAAAAAAAAGGGCCTGAATGAAAGTGCATGTCACAAGCTTAATTTTTTGGTTGCAAAAAAAACCCAAAAAAATCAAAAACATATATTTTTTTCCCTTTACTTCACAAGGATAAACAATATGATTCAAAGTATCATATAAAATATACCAAAAATACGATGAAACGTAATATGACAAACACAAAAATAGTACAATATATAACAGTCTCTTTTATGAGTGCACATTATAACATACAAAATCACATTATCATGAATAAAAACCTCCCCCCATCTCTTCCTTTCTTTCTTGTCTCGGCTGTTTTTTATGCCTTTATCTGTTTTCTTTTTTTACCTCATTAATTATTGACCATCTGATCTGAAATGCAGGCTATTTAATGCAAGAAAACTGGACTTAACTTGGTAATGAAGAAAATGAGAATTCATGTCATTATATGATAGTAGGTGCTCCTTCAGACAGGAAGTGGCCTCCAGTTTGATCATGTGCTGTGCGATGCAGTGAGCCCTGCTCAGGCTGCGAGACACAGATGGCTCAGCTGTGGTCCAAACAGGTCTAGCCAACTTTGTTCAGACAAGGCTCATTTTGAAACTCCCTATTCCACAGCATCATTAGACCCTGGGTGCAGGATGAAATGAGTATTGTTTCTTCATAGTTGGCTTTTTATCTAAGTTTCCTTTACAAGGATGTGATTTATCTCCACCTTTCAGCCAGCAGTGCTCTTTCTTTTTTAAATTATGCTTAAAAAACACAGACTTTTATCTTCTGTTGTGCCACCTACACCCCGAGACAGGGAACAGTTTCATGGTAATGAGAATGTTGAAATGATGAAAATCAGAGAGGTGAACCAACAGGTGATTCATTTACATTTTTTTTCTCACAGTATCCCTTGCTGTAAGCTTGATGTGCAGTGTGGGACATTTTAGAAAAGACACTTGAGCGTTAACAGCCTTGTCTGGCAGAGGAAAGCTTTTTTTTCCCGACTATTGAGACTGGGCTACATTTCTCCTACTACTTTCCCCAATGGTTAGTATGTGAGATTAGAGCTTAGTTGAGACTCTAAGCTGGAATATGGCTTGATGCTGGCAGATTATAGATGAAATTGAAGAGATTTAATAGGATAAACATTCTTTAGACCAGGTAAGACATCCAAAGGATGATTTATTTTTTGCATGCCCTGTAAGCCAGCTCACTGGCGCTGTCTCAGACTTATCTCTGTATCTTTTACACCAGTGTTTATCTCTGTCTATTTTAAACTCTCTCTTGTAGTAAGCATGAATTTTTTACTAAATAGAGCCCCGCAGAGCAACACTGACCTTTTCCCAAGAAGTACTTGAAGTACCATCTGGTGTGGTACTCTGGATTTTCCAGATGGACGTCCGTTCTCCTCCATGTTCCTGGAGTGTAGTCTGAAGCCTGATCGCCACACACAACATATACATTATTATTCTGACGGTCGAGCTTTGAGTCACCGAGGTCTCTTCTCAAGAAAAAAGTAAAACAATGCAAAAAGCACTGATCACAAGATAAATTACAAAATGACATTAGACAATAAAAGCCCACTATCTACTATCTAGTTGAATATTTGGTTTCAAGATCAAAGAACTTGCCTGTAAAAAGCTACAAAATTATTTTCTTATAATATGATTTATTGACAGCTGAGCTAGCACAAAGACAATATGCAATAGCATGCCAGGAAATCTTAAGGGTCTGAAAATGTATTTCAATGCATTTTTTTGTTAAATTTCAGAGAAACCACTGAAACAGTGATAAAATTTTTCCAAAATGTTTGAGATTTAAACAGACACGGTATCATAGTTCCTTAGGTCAGAGTCAGTAAAACATGAATTACTTTTTGATTGATTGATCACAACCAGCAGTGGTTCATAAAGCACTAGATATACAGTATATCCTAAGTTGGTCACACACACACATTCATACCTAAGGGCTAATTAGAGAGACCAATTAACCTAACAGTCATGCTTTTTGATTAAAGGAGAAAGCAGAGTACTAGTGCTGCAGGGAATTCAGTCACCAGCTGCAACAATGTTCAGTCCCTCAAGGATCCTTGGGCATGAACAACATTAAATAGGGCAATGACATTATGACAAATGTAAACACATTTACTTTTTCTAAAAATGTTTTATACAAAATCTAGGGGTAGTGAGGATTGATCCAGATTGACGGATGGATGGATGGATGGATGGACAGATGGATGGATGGATGGATGGATGGATAGGTGAAAAAATGGATGGATGGATGGATGGATGGATGGATGGATAGGTGGACAGATGGATGGATGGGTGGATGGATAGGTGAAAAAATGGATGGATGGATGGATGGATGGGTGGATGGATGGATGGATGGATGGATAGGTGGACAGATGGATGGATGGGTGGATGGATAGGTGAAAAAATGGATGGATGGATGGATGGATGGATAGGTGGACAGATGGATGGAGGGATGGATGGATAGGTGAAAAAATGGATGGATGGATAGGTGGACAGATGGATGGATGGATGGATGGATGGATGGATGGATGGATGGATGGAGGGATGGATGGATGGATAGGTGGACAGATGGATGGAGGGATGGATGCATGGAGGGATGGATGGATGGATGGATGGACAGGTGGACAGATGGATGGATGGATGGGTGGATGGATGGATGGGTGGATGGATGGATGGATGGATACTGTTGGTACCTCATCTAATGAGCCATTCTCCACCCTGAAGCGTCCCGCCCTGTGAATGGCCCCATCTGCATCACTGGAAATTAGCTAAGAGGGAGACAGAGAACCATGATCCAAATTAGACATTTAGCCATCAGTTGCTTTTGGCAAATTAATACAGAGGCCAGAAATCTACAACACACAAACAAGCAAAAAGGGGAATATCTGAATATTCAGCAACTCTATGTGCCAAAATCCCTCTGCAAATATGTGAGTAGTCGCTTTTCTAAAAAAGAAATTCTATTTTTTCCACTCATTTAAACATCAATAGTCACTCCAGTCTCATAATGATCCCAACTTCCTCCATGATAAAACTTTCAACAGTTCACCCCAATTATCTCTAACCAAATCAGCTTCACACAGACAGAACTTTGCCTGTGAAACTGGGCAGCTAATGATAGTCTGAATGGTTGACTGAAACTAGACAGGAATCAAGTTGTACCAAGTGTAACTCAGCTCTTATATGGAGAAGAAGGTGTTATTTTTAGATAATAACATTATAATATATGGGGTTCTGACACATTTCTTAATAAAAAAAAATCCATGGAAAAGAAATAAATCAAGGTAATTCAAAAGAGAGGACACAGGGAGAAATAAAAAGGACTGACATCAGAAAGAAATAAGTTAGGAAAAAATAATGAAAATAGTGGCACAAAGAATAATGATTGGAGCCGATATGGATAAGCGATAAAGCATGCAAAAATTGAAAAAAACAAAACAAAACAAAAAACCAGAAAAACTTAATTTTCCCAATTCTTATCAACCCCTGAACGACATTTAAATCAAACTACATATATTCCCAGAGTGCGAATCTTTGTGATTTAGGGCTCTGCTGATGTTTGTATTTTATGAAAGATGAGAGAAAAGAAATATGCTTTATTTGAAAAACTAAACATCTCCATGGGGATGTTTGCATGTTGTTAGGACTAATCTCAGTGATGCCATCTGCCTTCTTGGAAACAGTCTTTTTTTTATTTTTCCTGAGGTAAAATAAGCCTGGAACTGCTAATTTCCCCTGACAGATTGAAACATGCATTAACTGTTCTGCACTGCAGGCTGCGCCAGTGTCCCAGCAGTCAGTGTTGATTTAAAATGTTGCTTCTATCAACATCTCACCCAATAGAGTACATGAAGAGAGAAGAACTGGAAGAATGAGAAGAATGTCAGATGATAGTGGGGTTAAATTTATATTTATTATCACTTTCTTGATTATGCATTGCAAAGTCACAGCATGTGGCCTGTCAAGATGTCTTTTAGTAAACAGAATAACAAAAACCTGTCAATTTTTGTATAGAAAATTTTCTGACTGAACCAGATATGCATTCAGTTTTCATGTTTATTTAAGCTTGAAAAACCTTTGCACACCCTACAACCTGTTCGGGTTTAAAGGTCAGCAGATTTACTTAGCAGAAATATTGATAATAAATACAGCACCAATCATCACAGATACAACCAAAAACTTATAAATCCTTTTCTGAGATATTACGTGACAGCAAAAGACATTTAATTTTGGACTCATCTCATCCAGTTTAGCGCACAGAGGAGGGGATCTTTGTTCCTGCTGCTGTATTAAAATAATCCTCTACAAAGTTGGTTGCACACTGTAAATGTATTTAATAAAAATACTGATTTTAATGTTCACATATACTTTTAAACCTCAAACATCATCTCACTGATTGATGCTGGGTTGCTAGGTAACAGACCCTCTAATCCTTCTCTTATTCTCCTCCTCATGACTTTCTCTTTGCTCTTAGCTCTTTGACCCCCAAGACTGTCCAGCTCTATTTTGTTACCATCACTGACAGAGCTCTCCACTAAGCCGGTATGAAACAAAATAAAGAAGAAAAATGATACCCTAGGTGTAAATCCCTGTACAAACCATTAGATGCACAGAGGGCATATAAAACGTCTGCAAAAAATATCGGTGGAATAAAAGTGTAATGCACAATGTCCATAAAGTATGACCAACTGTCTACCTGACCATGTTTACTTTATGGTCATATAAAACAACAAAAACTCAAAAAGAGTACACAGCCCACAGGCCCCTTAAAAAAAGACAAACAAACAGTAAATGTTTTTCATTTAAGGATAAAGTTTCCTTAAAAGTATCAAAGAATCAAAATCAGAAGTGCAATCTTGCTTTAAAATATTTAACAAAAATGAATAATTGACAATTAAAAGTAAAAACCTTGCACAAAGTTTTTAATCAGTTATGTGTGATGTGGTTTGGCAGTCTGTGCAGAGCCCGGATAAAGCAGTGACGACGACCGAGATTACAAATGAGATGTGGTCTGATTTGGAGATTCGGAGTTTGTTCTTTTCTGTTAAGCAGCTGACTGCAGGATAGCGAGCAAGCAGATAGCCTTACTAATTAATTAGCTAATATCAGCAGAAAAACAACAATATGATGTTATTCACTATAAGCATGTCTATTTGCACACTAGTGTGTATACTGTAAATATAGCAGATGTACAGGTTATGCTTTATTTTTTTCACACAAAGGTTTTGAATCAAAGTAAAAATAAAACTCATGTTAAACTGTAGGATGAGAATATCCACCCTTTCACTCTTACAGTACATCACCATGTCCATCAGTAAAAAAGATACAATAGAACAAAGATAACAGGAATAAATCAATTAGTTTGTCAGGCCCCCTGTGTTTTTTTTTTTTTTTTTTTTTTTTTTGGACTTTGAGAAAAAAAGAGCACAAATAAACAGTTCAATAAAGAATCTTAGTTTTTGGTTAGAAACTAGTGGCAATTTCTCACTGAATAGAAGGGAGGATAAACCTTCCCTGTATGAGAAATTGTTTGTCTTTTACATAAAGCAGTGAGAAAGTAGAGCACTGATTGAATAATATTCTAAAATACATCACTTCCTGAGAGGCTAAACCTCTTTGGGGGTCTATGGAGGAAGGGCGGGTCATGAAGCTGGCTGCTCAATGCTGATTGGCAAACATAGTTTAGGATTTTTTTTTGACTGACAGTGGCCAGACAGCGAGGAGGATTTCCTCAAAGAGGAAAAAAGAGGGAAAAGTGATCATTAAGTCAGTCAACAGTCATCTGTTGTTGAACTCTTGCCTTGGTTTCTGGAGTTCATTATTTCAGAGCGCTTCACAACACCTGTTACCACCAGTTGTAATGATGTGTTACATGTGTTTTAAACATTTGTTCATGCGATACATGATGTTTGAATTTAACTAACACCATTGAGCCTCCCCTGTTATAGAGAGCAGCAGCCGTCACTGTTAGAAACCTTTTGTTGGCAATTACTTTGAACTTACGGACATCGGCAGACGCTGTGTTTCCTCATTTTTTATGCTCTGCTGGACTTTTACTGCTGCTGCTTTGACTTGCTGTTTGGTTGTGGGTCTTTTTGTGAAAAGTTTTGTCTTTCACAAGTGAAACACATGCTCAGTGGGGTTAATATCAGTTGACTCGCAGCCTACAGAATTGAAAAAGACTCCTGCATAGGTGTTGAAATTAGAAATGTAACTACAAAACCATGATGGACCCGTGCAAAGAGAATTGGGCAGCAGTCAGAGGACATCTGATCCATGAATGCTCAAACTGAACCAGTTGAAGCATTTCTGCCCTGATTTTTTTCGGATGCCCCCTGGATGCCTCCCTCTGGAGTTGTTTCACGCCCCTTCTACCCAAGGAGTCCCAGGAGACAACCTTGGACATGCTGGAGGGATTGTGCCTCTCGTCTGACCTTGGAGTCTCTGCTGAGACTGCTGTCCCCACAACCCAGTCCTGGGTAAGCAGAAAACTATGAGTACTGTACGAGTTTGAGTATAACTACATATTAGCAATTAAATTCCAATCAGTTAATTGATGTGACATCTAGTTTGTATAAATATATATAAGGGCATATTCCAATTGGATTCTTGTCATTTAAGAAGTTTAGTTTATTATTATAAATACAAACAGCAAAATAATGAAAAAAGAACTTTGAGTCATTTTTAATATATTTTTTTCTCTTTATCCTTTTTTAATGTTAAAGACAAACAACTCATTTTTGGAAGATCATCTCACAGTTTTCCTCTTTTAAAAAGCTTATTTAACATAGCTCAACTAAACTTGAATTTCATGTAAAATAAGATTGTCCACATTTTTAACAACTAAAACTACAAAAACAGAAAAAAAGAACTACTTGGCTTGAAGTAAATTTTACCTTTTTCTTTTGCAGAAAATAGCCCATAGTTTTCAAACATTGTGCACACAACATGCTCGTAGGTAACTCAGCTAAGAGGCTATGCGAGGATAAATTTAACTTGAAATGACTTTTATTCACAATTCTTAATAGAAAGAGAACTAAAACCATTCAGCGATTAGGCCCCTCTTTTCCTCTCTTCTTTTTTGAGAAACAGGAAGTTGAATCATTGAGGGCTCTTTCACGCAGGTTTATAAATTGTCAATTTTTCACAGGAAGGCATTTGCTTTGCTCAAATCTGTATTTACAAAATTAGCTAAATAAAGTTAAAGGTAAACATATAGGTATTATATTCTACACTCATGTAGAAATGTTTTTCACTTATCTAATGTGACAGCCTGTCAAATCTAGAGACTAGGATGTTATAACAAAACTAAAGGAAGTATAAATGAGCTGTACACAAACACACAGGCTCACAGCAAAACATTACAGACTGAGGTTGTTAAAATACGCTTATTTTAATTACTTTAAAAAACAAAACAAAAAGACATCTTAAACTGATTTAGTATCAACAGAAAAAACAGCCTAAATAATCAGATTCATATCAAAATTAGACCAGCTCAGAGCTAGAAGGTTTGGCTCACAGTAGGACTGTACTGGATCCAGTGCTTATGATCTTCTCTTAGTAACTAGATTTTTTTTTTTGTTTAATTTTAAAGGTAGGACAATTTAACAACAATGACTACTAACACTAGAAGTTCATGTGGGAAATGCAGAACTTGCAAAGCAACAAAGCCAGAATATATGCATCGATGCATGTAGAATGTTATGATTCTGCCCTTTCAGGACTTTTTGTTTCTGTTGAAGTTTTCTTTTTGAGTTACAAGTAGTAA